GTCACAGTGAAAAAAGTAACAGTGGGGATGGTCACGCGCCCCGCCGCTCCTTTGACCCTGTGTCTGCGAGCGGGACTCTGACTAACACGCTGCTGGCAGAGGAACAGCCTGTTTGTGGAGGAATCCTAGGAACTGACTTCAAAAGACACTGACTCTGACCTTCGGGCCTCCAGCTCCAGGAGGTTTGCTGACCTTCAGCTGAGGGGCCAGGAGGACGTGAAGCCGGGATGACTAACCAGGATGACGCACACCGGACCAACCAACACGTGCCTTATTGAAACAGACTGTGCTTGTGCGCACGGAAGAGTTTGCAACCCCCTCCCTTGATACCTTTCTTCTCTCCCCCTCTCCCTCCAGACAGAAACCTCTGCCTCCACTGAGAGGGGGAGACGGGCTTTGAGATGCGAGTCTCCACCTTCCAGGTGGTCGGCGTCCGAATAAAACCACCTTCCTTTCCATCAGCACCTGCCTCTCGAGGGCTGGCTTTCCCTGCGGCGGGCAGCTGGACCTGCGTTTGGTTTACAGTAGAATCACCAGTGAAGCTGGCTCCAGGCTTTTCTGTCGGGGGAGTTCACTGAATACTTATTTAATCCCCTTACTAGTTATAAATCTATTCAGATTTTGTGTTTCTTCTTGAGTCAGTTTTGCTAGTTTCTGTATTTCTAGAAATTTGTCCATTTCGATTAGGTCATTCAACATGTTGATGAACCATTGTCATCATACTCCCTTATAGTCCTTTTTACTTTTGTAAAGTTGGTAGTAATGTCCCCACTTTTCATTCCTGATTTTGAGTCTTCACTCTCTTTTTCTTAGTCAGTTTATTTAAAAGGTTGTCAATTTCGTTGATGTTTTCAAAGAACCTGCCTTGGGTTTTGTTGATCTCCGTTGTTTTGGGGTCCGGACACCAGTTCTGACGTATGTGTGTTTACTCCGTACCGCCAGGTAGTCCACCACCAGCTGTGTCCCCCAGTGCAGGTGAGCTCTGACACCGTCTGCCTGGCGACAGCAGAGCTCCCGCAGGGCAGGGACTCTGTCCTGTGAGACTGCCCTCCTCCTCCAGCTTCGGGTGTCGGCCACAAGTCCAGGTTGTCACCTGTGCTACTGATTAGCTGGCTGTAGGTTAGAGATTCCTAGAACCCCCTGCTCAGTCAGGTTCAATTCATTAGCTCACACAACTCGGGGAAACCGTTTGCTTACTACGTTGCCAACTTATCACAAGGGGACAGGACTCAGGACTGGCCAGATGGAAGAGGTAGGTGAAAAGGGCCAGGGGAGGGGCCTGCTCTATCTGGCTCGCCACCCTCTCAGCACCTCCATGTGTTCAACCAAACTGGACACACTCCAAACCCCATCCTTTTGGGTTATTACGAGGGCTTCACTATACAGGTGTGATTGATTAAATCTTTGGCCGTTGGTGTGATTGAATTCAATCTCCAGACCCTCTCCCATCCTAGGAGGGGTGCGTGTGTGGGGGGGATGAGACTGAACTTCCCACCCCCTAATCACAGGGTTGGCTCCACTGGCAAGCAGCCCCTATCCTTAGGTGCTTTCCAAAGGTCACTTCTTACCACAACAAAAGACCTTCCTCAGTTTCATCTCAGGGAAGTCCAAGAGTTTTAGGAGCGCTGTGCCAGGACAAAGACCAAATACTGCACAAACTTATCATGCATAACTCACGATATCACATTTTTTCTTTCATTTATATCTAATCTTTATTTCCTTCCTTCTGCTAGCTTTGAGGTTAGATGCTGTTCTTTTTCTGATTCCTCAAGGTGTACAGTGAGGCACTAGCTAAGCAGCTCCGTTGGTTGGAGCACCACCCCAATACGCCAAGGTCCCCGGTTCCATCCCCGGTCAGGGCCCTTGCAATAAACAACCAATGAATAAGCGTAGCAACAAATCTCTCTCTCTCTCTTCCTGTCTCTCTAGAATCAACAAACTAAAAAAAAATTAAAAGCACAGTGAGATTATTGCTTTTAGATATTTCTTTTTTTTTTTACATGTAGGTGTTTATAGCTATACATTTCCCTCTCAGTACAATTTTTGCTGCAACCCATAAATATTGATGTTTTATTTTCAATTACCTCAAGGTATTTTCTCATTTCCCTGTGACTTCTTCTTAGACCCACTGATTTTTTTAAAAGATTTTATTCATTTATTTTTAGAGAGGTGAAAGAAGGGAGAAAGAGGAGAAAACATTGATGTGAGAGAGAGACATCAATTGGCCGCCTCTGACACTCACCCCCAACAAGGGATCCGATGGAACCGGCGACCCAGGCATGTGCCCTGAGAATTGACCCATTGATTTTGAACTGGGAATTGAACCGGCAACCATTTGGTTGGCAGGCCAGCACTCAACCCACTGAGCCATACCAGCCAGGGCAATTTTTTCAGAAATTATAAATAAAATTGCTCCAAGTATTTGTAAGCAGAGTTTTGTGTGGCCGTACGCTTTTGAGTCATTTGGGTAAATACCTGGGAGCATGACTGCTGGCTTATGTTTAGCTTTTGTGAGAAACTGTCACAGCACACCATGTAGCATTTCCAACAGCAACCAATGAGTCCCCGCCCCTCCACGCCCGCACCAGTGCTCAGCGCTGTCCGCGTGCTGGGTCTCCACCCTTCGGCTGGGTGTGTGGCGGTGCCTCCTCATTTTAATTCGCGCCCCTCTGATTACATGATGTTGTGTCTTTTCACATGCTTATTTGCCACCTGTTTGTCACCTCTGGTGGGGCATGTGTTCGGACTTTTGCCCATTTTTAAATGGAGCTGTTTCTTGTTGTTGAATTGTAAGAGTTATTTCTATATTTTGGATCCAGTCCTTTATCAGATGTTTTTGCAAAGATTTTTCTCCCAATCCGTGGCTTGGCTTTTCATTCTCTTAACAGCATCTTTCACAGAGCTGAGGTTTTATTTACTTACTTGTTTTGAGAGCGAGAGATCTGTTGTTCCACCTATTCATGCGTTCACCAGTTGATTCCTGTATGTATCCTGACTGGGAATTGAACCCTCGACCCCAGCAATTGCGATGCCCCAACCAACTGAGCCACTTGGCCAGGGCCATCAATTTTAAATTTTATTGAAGTCCAAATTATGTAAATTTTTCTTTCATGGATTATGCTTTTAGTATTGTTTAAGAAGTCATCACCAAGCCCAAGGTCACCTAGGTTTCCTCCAGTACTGTTACCTCCTAGTGCTATTGTTCAGTGTTTTGTAGTCGGTTCTGTGATCCATTGAGTTAATTTCTGGGAAGATGTAAGTACTGTCCAGATTTTTTTTTTTGCACGTGGATGCCTGTTGTTCCAGCACCATTGTTGAAAAGATGACCCTTTTCCCACTGAATTTCCTTTGCTCCTTTGTCAAAGATCAGCTGACTGCATCTATATGGGCCTATCTCTGGGCTCTCTATTCTGTTCCATTGCTCTATTTTTCTATTTACTTGACAATACTGTACTGTCTTGTTTAATGTAGCTTTATAATACATTTTGAAGTTGGGTCATGTCAGTCCTTGACCTTGTTCTTCTTCAGTGTTGTGTTGGCTACTGGTCTTTTGCTTTCCCATATAAACTTTTGAGTCAGTTTGTTGATAACAAAATAACTTGCTGGGGTTTTTACTGGAATTTCATTGATTCTGTAAATCAAGTTGGAAGAATCAACATCTCGACGGTACTGTGTCTTCCTGTCCGTGTGCCTGGAGTGTGTCTCCAAATTTCTTAGCTTTTAAAAAAATTACTTTTGTCAAAGTTTTAATGTTTTTCTCACAAAGATCTTGTACATATTTTGTTAGATTTATATTTAATTCCTCGCCCTTCTTGGTACTAATGTAAATGCTAGTGTTTTTTAAAATTTATTTAGTTATTGTTCAAGTACAGTTTTCTGTTTTTTACTCCCATCCCAGGCCCTCCCCAGTGCTCCCCACCTCCCTCCCATTTCCACCCCCCTTAGTTGTTGTCCATGTGTCCTTTATACTAGTTCCTGTAAATACTTCCCCTTTTTCCCCTGAAATTCCCTCCCCTCTCCCCTCTGGTCACTTTCCCCATTCTCTATTTCAGTGTCTTTGTTTTTATTTTGCTTGCTTGTTTGTTTCGTTGTTTAGCTTCCTGTTAAAGGTGAGATCATATGGCATTTGTCTTTCAACACCTGGCCTATTTCACTCAGCATAATACTTTCCAGTTCCATCCATACTGTTGCAAAGGGTAGGAGCTCCTTCTTTCTGCTGCATAGAATTCCATTGTGTTAATGTACCATAGTTTTTTGATCCATTCATTTACTGATGGGCACCTAGGTTGCTTCCAGCTCTTAGCTATTGTAAATTGTGCTGCTATGAACATTGGGGTGCATAGGTTCTTTTGAATTGGTGTTTTAGGGTTCTTAGGATGCTAGTGTGTTTTCATTTCAATTGTTCACTGATGATATATGAGAGCAATCAACTTTTGTGACTCTAGCGATAGTGAATCATCTCAGTTATTATACTTTTCAGTTCCAACATCTGTCAGCGAGTTTCTACGGAATTCTCTCTTTCCTGTGAATGAGCCATACTCTCCTGTTTATTTATATGCTTTGTAATTTTTTGTTGAGAACCAGCTTCTGAGTAGCATGTTACGATAACTCTAGAGACTGAGTCTCCCACACCTCGGGGACCGCCGGATTTGGCTTCCCGACGGCTGAAGCGAGCCGTGCTCCTCGTGTGTGTCCGAGGTTTCCGTCCCGCCACCTCTGCTGTCTGCTAATGGCCCAACAAAGCCTTTCTGGCCGAAAAAGCAGAAAGGCACTGGGCACTGGGCTGTCCCTTTAGACCTTCCGAGGGCGCTGGGCTGCGCCCAGGGGACCGTCTGCGGACAAGGCCGCAGTGACCGCATTCTCACTCAAGTCTCCGCGCCCTGTCAGCGGCTCCGTGCCTGAGGGTCCGAGCCTGGGTGCAGGTCCTGCTTTAGAAAGTCACGCCGGACGGTTTCCAAAGTGCAAATTTGTGCTCCCAGACCCAGGAAGAAAAGAGTCTATTTTTTTTTTTATTTCCAACACAGAAAACTTGCCCCTATTCTCTCCCTACCACTGCCCCCCATCCCCATTCTGCTGGGCCCAGGCCATGCCTAGCAAGAAGCCAGAAGCAGGCAGAGCTTGGGCAGGCTAAAGCCGCCTGGGAAGTCTCCGGCACCCTGGTCCACACAGCCGACCTGGTCTGGACGATCAGAAGTGGCCCAACATGTGGTCCTGGCAATAAATAGGCGCTTCCAACAAGGAGCAAGCCCCGCTGGTGGCAACGGTGACCGCTAGGCCCAGTATGGTGGCGGCGGGCCAGGGTATGCTACGGAAAAGCACATCCTCTAGGCCTGACCCTCAGCCCCACTTATTGTCCACCACAGCCTTTGAGACTGGTCCTGGGAGAGGGGCTCTGCCCCACAAACCCCCGCTGAGTCGGTCTTGGACATACAAGTCAGAGGCATCCATGTGGCCATCAATCAGATGCACTGTTCTCTCTACCACAGGAAAGTGTCCAGCTTGGCCTGGGAGGGAGGGAGCCCCTTCCTGGCCCCGACTTTCTGCTTCGCCTTGGCCTTGGGCTTCACAGGTAGTGGGCGGATAATAGTTGTGTCAGTCTGAAGGAGATGTCAAGGAAAAGGCCGAAGTAGGGGATTGAGGTGCAGGAGAGGAAGGCTGAGACTGGGGTGGGCCACCCTGCTGTGCTCAGCGAGGCCTGGCTCTGCAAATTTGAGGCTGCAGGCCCCAGCAGGCTGGGGCCTGGGGCACTAGTAAGGGACAGTGTGGACTTGATAGCTCAGCTTGCCCAAAGCCACAGAACAAGGATACAGGCTGGATGAATTTTGTCCGGCCCCCAAGACCATCGAAGCCGGTCCGCACCTAAAGGAAAAGAAGAGATGAGTGAACCAGGCTAATGAGCGAGGCGGGTGGGGGGGGTGCAGTGGCGGCTGGCTACCGCACCCCCTCCTGAGAGGGCTGGCACTTGCCCCTTGTGGGAAGCCATACTCACTGCATCTGTGCTGCGGCAGGACTCTGCCCTGGCTCTCTTGGGCTGTTTCAGGCCCAGGACGGCATTCCGGATGAAGAGAGGGAAGGCGCCAGCCAGCTCCTCATCTGGTTCTCCCACACAGTGCTGGCCGCCCAGCGAGAGCTGGGTCTCCTGCAGGGGACACACCAGAGCCAGACTTGATGAGCCGGATGGCGGCACGGAGGGGTGGGCAGTGGTGGTGGGACAGGATCAGGACCTCTGATGCCTTGCTGGGAGGCAGGGAGGACCACGAGCAGGGTTCCAAGGGTGGCTCTGAAGGGTGTCGGTCCTGGGCCAGGGCTGAGAGGGCCTTCCCTCACGGAAGCCCGGCTCCACACTCAGTCTGGGCCAGGACCGGATGGCGACTGACTGGGGGCCTTACCTGCCTGCAGGCTTTGGACACCTTCTTGGGAGCATCCTGAATGGGAGAGCTGTGAGACATAAGGGCAACGCACAGGTGAGCAAGCACAGGGACAGGGTGATTGGGCTCAGGACATACCCCTTGCAGAACCACCATGTGGCATGGCTGCTGTTGTGCTAGGCAAGGCCCCTTGGGACCCTCTCTGCAGGTGCACATCTGTGAATTGCTGGACAGCCACAGCTGCCAGAGTGGTGGAGGCAGGGGAGGTCGGACCATGTCCCAGTCTTATGGCTTTCCACTCCGGGGCAGGCTAATTCCAATGCTCCCCAAACCCACAGGCACCTCACCATGTCCCAGGCCCTGTGGGGCAGGACAGCCCCACTGATGCAGCCATGCCCTGATCCAGGTGGACACATCTCACGAGCTCAGGCCCCGTTCTGTCTGCCCAGAGGGGGGCTACCACTCCAGGAAACCTTCAGTGAGGTCAGCAGCCCAAAAAGCACTCTCGGAACACAGGCCCAAGCCATCTCCCTAGATAATCTAGATATCCTGTGTGGACGGGGCCTGGAGCAGAACAGGTCATGGCCTCAGGCCCTAGCCTCCCATCCTTAGCCCCAGAGCTGGGTGCAGTGTTTCTGTTCTATTGCTGGGACCCTAACAGCTGGACACCTTCCCTCCTGTGTTTTCCTAGGTGGGTGGGAGGATGGTGATGCACAGTTGACCCTGTGGCTTCTCAAAGCCACGAGCACAGGGGCAGAATCAGGGCCTGCTGACTCTGGACCCTCTGCTCCTGTCCCCCGAGTCATGGTGGGGTCACATGAATACCATGGGAAGACCCTTTGTTTGCTGCAATTCTGAGTTTGCAGAGGCTGATCCAAGTTGGGGGGATCCCAGGCTCCCTCACATGCCCTGCAGGCCCTAAAGATGGTAGCAATGTCTCCAAAAGGTCCAGCAACCTGTAGGCCCGGGTATCCACATTCCAACTTTACAGCTAGAGAAAAGGCCACCCGAAGAGGCCAGAGTGTGGACCGGGCACCGGGAAGGCCCCCAACTGCAGCGCACGCGCTGGGCATGCTGCTCATTGTCTGGGGCACAGGTGGCTCCACCCCTGCGGTCGGGGGAGGGGGAGCCCAGCCAGCGTCCCTTTTGCCCTCCCTCTCCCCGGGCCTCCTCCATCTCCAGGGCCCCACATCTCGATTTCTTTCTCGCAGGCCCAAAGTCTTTGACTACAAGGAAACCTGCTCAGCCCTGAGCCCCCTTACCTGAGCAGCGCGTACCTACGTGTATACGCGAGTCGTTCTCGTCTCCATGCTGAAATACACTTGGTCTGCGTGGCCAAGGAGAAAGCCTCCCCGCTCCCAGTGCCTCTGCACCCCAGTGAGTGCCCACCCCCCCCACAGCTCCACATAGCCTCTCCTACCTGCCCCTGCGGGCTGGCCACCCAGGTATGGGGTGCGGGCCTGGGCTCCGTGGTTTGAGACGGCCCTGCCTCAAACATGAATCTGAGAGGCACACAAAGGGGGAGGAGGTGCAGGATCCCTGGCTCAGGACTCCGGTGGGCAGGCATTCCAAGAGCACACACCCATCACACCATTAGCCAATACTTGCCCCCACTGGGACCCCTGCATTCTCCCCAATTCACATCCCAGCAGCCTTGCCTGAAGGGTGATGGTGCAGGGTAATGACACAAGTGAGAAAGGCTGTGACAGAGAGCGTACTCAGGAGAGGAAAGGAAACGTGGCTGGAACCAAAGCCTTTCCAAAGCTGGGCGACCCTTACCGCCCCATGAGCTGCTCAGAGCTGCTAGGGCAGGGCCTACAGAGATCTCTTAGCCATCTTCCCTCCAGGCTATAGACAGGGCCAGGGGCTATTACTTACTGTGCCGTCTCTGGGCAGAGCTTCTTGGCATGGCCATGCCGAATGCCGGTGGGCCGGGCTGGGGGGGTATCCACATCAAAGGTGGCATTGAGGTCGATCTCATCACTGAAGGCTGGCCGCCGAAGCTTCAGGTTCAGCATCTCTACAGGGGCTGGGCTAGAGGCACAGAGAGACTGGTTACTCAGGACCACAGGGGCAGCCCAGGACAACAGCCCCCCAAGCATCAGAGATGGCCCCATGGGGTCCTTGATGTCTTCTAAATACCCTCTGTATAGTTGGGGATGCTAGTCACCTCCTGAGGCCACCCTGAAATGATGGGAGTGAAGGATAATTCTACTGCGACAAATGGAACAGGCAACCACCATCAGCTCCCATAGATTTCCCCCAAATTCTAGGAGGAGCATGGCCAGGGGGGCTGCAGGCCCACACAGAATGAGTGAAAGGATGGGCCACAAGCCATAGGGGGAGGTGGTGGCAAGGGAAAGGGGCAGGAGGCCCCAGAAGTTAGGTGGGCAGGCTCCAGCAGCTAACTGGATGTGGGGAAGAGAAGGGCACAGAACGACTTCCCGAAGGACACTGAGAGTGGGTCAGTAAGGGGCTGGCTGGGTCGCTGGGTGCTGCGGCCTTGTCTGGGCAGCCAAGTGAGAGACTGTCCTGAGGACAGAATGCTCAGGAGCAGGCAGGGACCTGCATCCCTCTGCCTCTTGGCTCCCTCTGCTGGCAGCTCCCATGCATGCATTCCCAGGACCAGAGGAGCAATCTTTCCCAAATAGTTTCCTGTTTGTTTCAGAATCTGAGGCTGACAGATGCATCTGGTGGGCAATCCCATAAACAGCTGCCCAGAGACAGTCAACGCTGCCTCCCCTTCTGCGACCATCTGTAGGCCTTCCCTGGCCCACCCTGGCCTCTCCTTGTCAGAGCCTAGAACTTGCCTCAGTGCTGCTTTCCAGCTAAGTCTTCGCTGTCCCCCAGTGCGGGAGCACCACCATCCTCACGGCCATGTGGACCACCCACCCCACCAGAGCCAGGGGGACTGAAGACCCTTCCCAAGGAGCTCCTGCAGCTGGAGGCCCGCACCAGCCCAGAGGGTCGACCAACCTCTCTAAAACCAGGCGGTTCACAGTCTCACTGTCCACTGGTGGCAGGTTCAGGGTTTCCTGCAGCATCGTTAGCTTTTTTTTCAGGCTCTTGGGGAAGGAAAGAGAAAAGTGTGAAAGAAAGGCGAGGCATCAAGTGCAGGCAGACTGCTGAGGACTTGAACAGCACACAGAAGGCGAGGCCTCTGGGAACAGAACAAGGCCTGAGGCCCACTGTGGGGCTGCAGAGGCAAAGCCCTTCTTCTGCTGCTCTCGGGGCTGTAGGTCCAGGACAGACCTTGAGTGAAGACCCCCCATGCAGTCTACCCAGGCTCCAGACCAGGGTCGAGGTCCTGGCCCACCCTGACCCAGGAGGATACACAGAGCCCAGAACCACCAGCACCGACTGGCCAACAGGTTCCAGGAACAGCTAGCCCAGCGGTGCTCTAGGAGGGCACACAAACCACCCCTCACTCCCCACCAGCCAGGGGTGATCCTCACCGCGATTTCCCTGTCAGCGTTCTGCAGATCCTTCTGGGCTGACCTCAGCTCCAACTTGGTCTGGTCCAGTTCCGAGTAGACTGTCTGCAACTACAAAAGCATAGGGAATAAAGGATGGGCCAGGGGTGGCCGTGTGCCCTGCCCCCATTGGCTGCTACCCAGCACATGCTCATGGTAGACCAGGGTCCAGAAGATTATGGGGACACATGAGGGAGGCCCCAGCTCCAGGGGGCTGAGCTGTAGTCCAGCAATGTCCTTCTGGAGCCACTCAGGAGCAAGCACTGCTCCTTATACCCTGCAGCCACGGATGCGCTGGGCCCAGAAATAAGAGTGGCGGTGATGACCAAGTCAGGTTCCAAGGGCCCTTCTACTCTGGGCCTGGTACAAAAGCAGACCTTTGCAGCTGTCACATTTGGGACCTGTGCTCCCCTGCCAGCTGAGAGGTGTCCAGGAACCAGGAAGAGCAGAGGGGAGCATGTATTAGGAAAGTACCTGCATGGCCTGCCACCCTAAATGGACGAGCCACGTGGCCACAGCCAATGCCAGTGAAGGCCAGTAACCCGTCTCCATGAACCATCCGACGGCCCCATGGAATCGGCTGCACCACCAGGCCCCGCGGCCTTGCTCAGGAGATGTGAGCAAGCATGGAAAAAGAACAGCCACCCCTCCCTTCACCCTCTGCTCCCCACTAAGGTACCTTGCTTTTGGAAGAAAACAAGTCCTTCTTCAGCTTGTCTACTAGCTCCCCTGAGGCCTTCCGTGCCTCTTTCAGATTCTCGTACTCTCTACACAGGGGCCAAAGAAAGACAGGTCAGAACAAGACACCCACCAGTCAGACTGAGCACCAGCCAAACACAAAGCCCAGCCCAGCCCAGCCCAGCCCAGCCCCTCCCCTGCTCTCTTTCCTGCTCTGATGCCTGAGCTCAGCAGGCTGGCACGAGGAGGGTCCTGCATCCAGTGCCCTGCAGGTGCTGGTGGTTTGAGGTGTGCAGGGAGCCCCAGCCTCACTCAGGAGGCCCCTACACCACCTGGCCCCCACAGGAGGCATCTTGGATCCTCAGTGCCTGTCAGCTGAGTGGCTGTTTCCCCAACCTCCTACCCTTAGTACTGGAGAATCTGAGCAAAGTTTCTGACACGGGCAGGCAGGGTCAGTAATAGTGCTGATGGGACAGGCTGCCAATACTGCAACAGGGCTGACGGCCCACAGAGCTGTGCCAGCCTCCTCAGAATAATGCTATCATCACCCAGTTCTCAATGACCCCAAGAGGCTAGTTGTTACTATCTCCATTCAGTAAGCTGAGGGTCACAGAGGCTAAAAAACAGCTCTGGCCACACGATGAGAGGGAGGGTCAGGGTTCAAACTGAGGCAGCATGGCTCCAGAGCTTGCCCCTTAACTCTGCCTGCTCTGCCTTGCAAGAGAGGGGCAGCAGGTGGAGAGCCATGGCTGGGGGGCCGTGGCTCGGCTCCTGGGCTTGGACAGAGGGGCCAGACGACGCACTTCTTGAGGGACACGCAGTACACAGCCAGCTGCTCCACTGCTGACTGGCCCACGCCCATGTCTCGGATCATCTCCTCCACTTCAGGCCGCTGGCTCTTGAGTAGGTGCTCAATCCTGAAAAACACCCAGCCCACGGCATTTAAAATCTGGAGGCTGATGGGTAGGTACCCAGTGCAGCTCTACCTCCCCTTGCTACTGTTGCTATGGTGACAGCCTGGCCTGCTAGGATGCTTCAGCAGGCAGGTCTGCCCAAAGAAAGGCCCCGCAGCAGAGCTGAGCACAGTTGCAAGGGTGCTGCTGGGGAAGAGGGCGCCTGACAGAGGTCCTCAAGGTCAGCAGTCCCTGGAGAGCGGTCCTTGGAGCAAAAGACCTCCCAGATTGTGTGGCCACAGGCAACCGGTGCCCAGAGCCTGAGCAAAGAGACCCAATTGGCCTGAGTTCCCCCACGGCCTATGGAGATTAGAGCCACAGAGGTGACTCAGCTCCCGCTGTAGTCCTATGAGCTGTGCCACCCAGGGGCCCTGGCTCCAAGCTCACCGCTCCATGGTCTGCATTTTGCCCCTGAGTCGGCGGGCCTCCTCCCGTGCCTGTCTGGTCTCATCCTGCTGCTGCTCCAAGAACTTCATCTGCTTCTGAAGAGCAAACACACCCACACATACCTGTTGCTCAGAGAGGGACTCCACCCTAGGACTCTGCTTTTGCAGATGCTGAGAACCATGTGTCCCCAACCCTCAGGGGGGCAAGGCTCCTGGGTCCCATTCTAGCTTGTGTTTTTTCTGCTAAGAGGCCCTAGGCCAGCAGCCGCCTTACCTCCCTGCTTGCATCCCCTGACACAGGTCTTAGGATAGGTGCACCCCAGGCCGGCACCCCAGGCCCCTTGTGGGCTGCCACACTCCTGTGCCCCGGGCTCTCGCGCATGTTGTGCAGGGAGTGGAAGAAGCCCGAAGCCCAAAGCCCAAAGCCAGGCCTCACTGTCCACCATCCAGACTCACGAACAGTGGCCAGGACAGTGGCCAGGACAGTGGGGCTGAGCCAGGGGCAGCAGCCAGGCTGCCCTCGGCACAGGACCTCTCCACCCCTGGGAACACTGTCATAGGTGCCCGCTGTGCAGCCAGGGGCTCATCATCACTCCTTCCCCTGCACTGGCCAGGCCACGTGGTCCAGACCAGCCACCAAGCGGGAACATGGACAATGAACACCCGGGGCCCACTCTGTTCACAAGGATGCCGCCTCCCTTCCCCTTTCCAACGGCATCCTGCGACGCCCGCTCCCGGCTACAAGGCCAGAATACCAATTGTGCCTTCAGATCAATCGCCTCGTGCCCCTTGGAGAGCAAGAGGCTCACCAACCCAGGCTGATAGAAAATTCATCTGGATCTAGAACGGCTGGCTCTGCAGGCTTTGATCTGCCCGGTCAGCTCAGCACAGCCAACTTCAAAGGCCGCTGCTCCTCCCTGGGGTGCTGTTTGGTCTGGCTCCAGAGAGCAGCCTGACCGAGGACTAGAGTGCGGATGGCAGTTTCTCCAGGCTTCATCGGTGGAGTACAAACCACTCTGGAAACATGGCCCAGCCTCACCAAGGTCATGGCTGAGCAGCCCCTCCATGAAGTGTGGGGAAGCCCTCACCTCTCCAAACCACTTGGGACAAAATTTATAGGTGTGGTCAATGTGGCCTTTTTCTTATGAGCTGGGTGGGTACAGTTTGGGGGGCCTGGGGACCAGGGGATTCGCCTCCATTTTACAACGGCACACACCGAGCTGCTGCCCGGGGCAGAACCAGGCGAGCCCAGCGTGGTGAGCCCAGGGTTGGGGCTACGTCTCCCATCAACCGCGCGCCCACAGGACCCGGGGACACACCTTGAGGGTGGAGCACAGCATTTCGGCCTCGTCTAAGGCCCCCTGCAGAGATTCCACGGTGGCGTTGCGTTCTTCCAGCGTGGCCCGCAGAGTGTCGATGACGTCCTGGCTGTCCCGTTTCTCCCTCTCTGGAGAAAAGAGACATGCTCACCCACCTGTCAGCATAAGAACCCGGGCTTCTGGGCTCCAGCGCCCACCCCAGAGAGAGGTGAAGAACAAGTCCCAGGCCAGAGAAATGGGGGGCAGGCCTCTCTCTCTGGCACGCCCCAAAGCAGGGAAGCCAAGCTAGAGTCTCCTTCATGGGACAAGACCCTCTTTCTGCGGCTTGGTCTACCTGAGTAAAGACTCCACTGCTCCCCACTCCCACCGGTCTAGTTAGGTCACCATCCCAGAAGGCATGCAGGTTCCTGCCAAACTCTGTGGCCGAAACCCCTCCTATACACACTCCGGTGCATCAGGCAGCCCTTCCCAGCCCGAGTGCCGGGCGAGGCGGATGGCTCTGGTCCCCAGCCCTTCCTCTCCCCTTCAGTCATGAGCGCGGGCAAGATGCTCTGGCGCACGGAGCAGGGTGAGGCCCAGCCCACCAGCAGACTGACAGCTTTCCTCCCAGCACCGCTCGCACCAGCTCCCAAGTCCGAGGCTGCCCACGGCCCCTTGTCTCTCGGTAACTCACCTTTGTGGGAAAGCTGGGCCCTGACGTTATCCAGTTCATTCTGTAAGGCAACACCCACCATAAGCAGCAGTAAGACACCACGGCCGGCCTCCCCTCGGCCTCCCACGGGCTATGGGCAGCCCTGGGAGGGGAGGATGGAGCCTGCCGCTCTCTGCTGCACCCCAGGACCAGACTGAGCCGATGATGCAGAGGTACGCCTTGCTTCAACTCTGTGCGCCTTTTTAAAAACTGGGCAAGCTGGGGGGAAATAATCTCAGGGATAAGATACCCAGACAGGGAAAGAGGCAGAACAGAGTAAGAGATGTGAGGCTGGGCCTGTGCGCTCAGTGCCCTGGCGGTGGCTTCCACTGCTTCCTCTGCTGGCCTGCACCCTCTCTGGGCACCAGCTACCCTCGGCGGGGACACAAGGTGGGCCAAGCACCTTGGGCTACCACTCCTGCCCTCCACCCTGGGGTCCTGCCTGCCTCGGCCCCCTTTCATCCAAGCTCTAAGCTGGCTCTGTGTGCCACGGATCTTCCAGCCCTGGGGTGAATATGGTTGGTGAGCCGGGGCAGCTTCGGGCCGCTGGGTGAGACTCGTGCTAGGTTCTAGCCAGGCTGTGTGTGCACTGCGGAGCACTGCTGCAGGACTGCCGAGAGGCTGGGGCAGAGCTGCGCTCAGCTCCCGTTCAGAAGTCCAGAGGATTCAGCATCTCCATGGGCAAGAGGGGGCCTCATCCATAAGCAGGAAAAGTAGGCTCTGTAGAAGCAACAGGCTTGGCCAAGGGTCCAGGAGGGTAGCTGGATGGAACCAGACCAATCCTCCTCCAGATCACCTTCTCCACGTCAACACAGACTCAGAACCTCACGCATGACCCAGTAGGTTGGATAAGCCCCATGTGGCCAAACTCTCCACTCAGGACTCTGGGGCAGGTATGTTCGGTGGCTGGGTTGGTCAGTGTAGGCTAAACATCTCGAGGTGGACATGGTGGGTTGAGAAGGGTGTGCAGGGGCTGCCTGAGAAGAAAAACTATCCCTAGACCCCCAGCTCCTGCCACATGCAAGCAGGATGCGTTCCAAGCCCTTGCCTCCCTGTCTCCTACATCTGACTTTGAAAGCTGGAAAGAAATGGAGCTGCCTTTGTTGCCTGTATCGCAGGGAGAACACGGCTTAAAACTGGGAGCAGTTACCATGACGATGAACATACTGGCTTTAAGCACAAAAGCTCCATGTTCCTGAAGCAGTGAGGTTTCAAGGACATCATGGCACCCTGGAGCCAGGGCCAAATGAGCCCCGATCTGACAGATGCCCAGCAAATTAACCCTCACAGCCCAGGCTCACTTGCGAACTCCAATCCCACTTCCTTGAGAGGTTTCTGCCAATCCGGTCCCTTGTGCACAAAGGAAGCTGCACCTGCACCGCAGACGTGGAGGAAAAGCAGTGGGAGTGCAGGAGGGGACGCACCCGCCCTCGCCTGCAGTGTGGGTTTCCACCCTGGCTGCACACATTGTTTCCAGGGCTCTGCCCTCTATTCCTGGGAAAGGCACAGGCACCGAGCCCGTGCCGAGCTCCCTGGGCAGTTTTGAGACACAGCCAGGTTTATAAACAAAGGGTCCGTGTACCTTCCCTGGCTGAGGACTGGAAGCATTTTCAAATCTGTCTCTGACTGTCCAAGCAGCAAAGTGGGCCGTGGGGGACGGTCGAAGAGCCCTGGCAAGGTGAGGGGCCTTGAGAGAGGCCCTCTGACCTGAGTCGGAGTTGCTTTGAAGTCCCAAGGGGAGAGCTCACAGGGCATGTCTCCAACGACGCTCTCAACCTCCCTTGTTCTCTGCTCTCCTTGCCTCTGCCTTGAACTTTCTGCAAAGTCTCCCCTGTGGAAATCCACCTCCTACTCTGGGTACTCTCCCTGGGTGGGGGCAGAAAGAGCTCTCAGAGAGCTGGGGGTTCAGTAGCATGAGATACATTCCGGGTACCTTTAAGAATTCGGCATCTAGGACACCCTCCTCCTCCTGGGCAAGGTCGAAGAAGAGCTTATTGATAATGGTTCTCTTGCCAACCTGGAAGGGGAACAAGAAAGAGTGTGAGTGAGTGGTTGGGTCGTGGGCGAGGAGGACGGGGCTACGTGCAGCCTAACACGCAGCCTGGTCCGTCCTCAGGCCTGACATTTCGCACTGTGTTCCTCGGAGGCACATGACCTCTGTAGCCCTGTCGGTGCCCCGAGCTGGTGCCACTCTTGGTTGGTGGTTACTGAAGTCCTGTCTCTGCGGACCCAGATCGCGACCACTCAGAAGACTCCCCAGCTCTAGGTACCAGGCATTGAGAAAATAGGAAAAGGCAGGGAAGGGTGCCAAACCTGCCCAGGGAGAGAACGAGCCAGGCAATGAGTGCATCTGCCAGTTACCCGTGGGTATAAGCAGGCCTGCCGAGCCGCTCAAAAGCACTAGTGAGGTTCAACCAGCCTCAAACCACGAGGGCCCAAAGGGGTCAGAGAAAGGTATCCGCTTCAGAGGCCTTCCCTCGTTCCTGCTCGCTGGCAAGGAGGACGTGTCCGAGCTGTGGTGTTTCCACCCCACCGCCCTCACCTGGACTCGGCACTGTGGGCAGGTCCGACTGGGTGCTGTGTCGAACCACTGGATGAGGCTGCAACGAGACACAGAAGAACAGACTGGTGAGCTGTGGCTTGGCTGGAGATACACAGGCCAGGTAGGCATGCTGACCACAGACGGGCCCGTCCTGCCCTTCCTGGACCAATGCCCGACCACACCAAGGGCAGCGCCCCGGGCGGGGACAGCACACCCCATGAGGCCCTTTTCTGGCCCCGCTGGCTTGGCCCTTCCTGCCACTGAGCTGCTCTCTTGTGAACCTTCTGGGCTTCGGCGAGGGGTAACAGTCAAAACCCAGAGTCCCCCAGAGTCAGGGATCCTAATAACACCCCCTCTTTGGCTGGGACTCTGGAAGGCTATATTCTCAAAGGAAGGGTAAACTAGAAGTGAAAGCAAGAAGAAGTAAAAGCAAAACACAGCCCAGCTTTGCAACATCTATCTGTCTGGTCCAACAAAACCTCAAGCCTTAAACTTTAGAACCATCCCCTAGTAGTGAACTCTCCCACGCCCAGGGACAAGGAAGAAACAAGGCTTTTCGGAGGATGACGCCGTTGTCCTAGGCTTTAATGCCTTTTCAGATACTACACACAACATATAACCATACACGATAGAATACTACACAGCAATGAGAATGAATAGATCTACAAATGAATCACATAAACATAACACGGAGGAAGAGAGGCCAGATACCAGAAAAAAAGGTACACTGTGTACGAAGGCATTTACATAAAGTAAAACAGTAGGCAAAACTCATCTGTGCTGTTGGCAGTCAGGAGGGCGGGCACCCTCGTGTGCGGGAGAGGCGGCGCGCGGGCACCGCGAAGGGCGCACCGGGAGGTTTCTGGAACGCTGATGCCTTCTTTCCTGTCTCCTTCAGTTTGTGAAAACTGCGCAAGCCATACTTTTACTATATGTGTACTTTACATGATAGGTTATATTTCAACAAAATAGTTTTTTTTAAACAGTCGCACAAGAAAAAAAACACTAGAAGTGCCAACGAAAACACACCCACAGAGACATCGGACACAGGCCACAACATGCCATGTGAAATAAATCGAACCAAGATTGCAAATGTTGGTAGAGAATCAGAAAATAAAAGGCGGCCAAACAGAAGTGCTGTAACTGACAAAGTGGCCAAAGTTACGAATTTGGTGGTCGGGTTTCAGAGCAGTTTGGACACAGCTGAAGAATTCGAATACTGAACAACAAGGCGGAGGAAACACTGAGAACTAAAGAGATGTAAGCGACACAGAAGATGCTGTGAGACAGTGCAGCGCACGCGTAATCAGGAGTTTCAGAAAGAATGTGAGCCAGAATAATGTCCTCCCCCGAGAAGTCTACATCCTAATTTCTAAAACCTGTGAACACCTTACCTTACATGACGAGAGCGATTTTGCAGATGTGGTTTATTAAGAGTCTTCGGATAGGGGATTACCCATCCAGGTGTGCCCCATGTGATCGCAAGGACACTTACAAGTGGGGCAGGAGTGTCAGAGTCATACAGAGAGATCTGAAGAGGTAACACGGCTGGCTTTGCAGATGGAGAGAGGGGCCGTGAGCCAAAGGGAAGCCCCACCTACGAACCTCGAGTTTAACCCAGCACAACCCACTTCAGACTTCTGACCTCCAGAACTGCGGGATGACATATTAGTGTTGTCGTAAGTCCACCAAGGGGTAGCTTGTCAGAGCAGAAATGAGAAACTAATACAGAAGACATAAAGGAACAGAGGCGATACGTGAAGAGATAATTGCTGATGATTTTCCAAAAGTAATTAAAGAAATCATTCCACAAATTAAAGAAACTTATTAATGAATCCCAACCATTAATAAGAAAATTAAAAATTTTCTTACCCAACCAGGATAAGAAAAACATTAACAAAGAGAGCTAAAGTGCCTACTTAATTGTCAGACAAAATAGACTTTAAGGAAGAAGAAAAAAGAAAAGGTTATAAGAGACAAAGAAGGACTTTATATATTGATAAAAGTTTCAATCCAAGAAGCAATAACAATTATAAACACATACGCACCTAACAACGGAGCCCAAAAATATATGGAAAAAAATTGGAGAGAATTGAAGGGAGATATAGATAGTTCTACAACAAAAATTGAAGATGTCAATACCCTACACTTTCAATAATGGACAAAACAATCAGAAACAGAGACCTTGAACAATAAAATAAAGCAACTGGATCTAACAGACATATACTCCACCCAATAACAGCCAAATACACATTTCTCTCAGGTGCACATGGGACATTCTCCAGGACAGACCACATGTTGGGCCACAAAACAAGTCTTAATAAATTTTAAAAGACTGAAATCATACAAAGTATGTTTTCTGATCACAGTGGAACGAAACTAAAAATCAGTAACAGAAGAAAAATGGACAATTCACAAATACAAGGAAATTAAATAACACCCTTTTAAACAACCAATGGGTAAAGAAGAAATTACAAGGGAAATTAGAAAATACCTTAAAAGAATGAAAACACAATAGGCCAAAAACTTATGAAATACAGCAAAAGCAGTGCTAAGAGGGAAACTGATAGCTGTAAACACACACTAAAAAAGAAGATGCCTGTTAAGATGGCTATTATAAAAACAAAATAAAAACAGAAAATAACAAGTATTCACAAGGATGTGGAGAAACTGAAAACCTAGTGCAGTTGATGTGGAAAACAGTAAGGCAGTCTCTAGAAAAAAACTAAACATAGAGTTACCGCATGATCCAGTAATTCTACTTCTGGGTATAATCCAAAAGAAACAAAAGCTGACCGAAATGGCTCTGTTGGTTGGGCATCATCCCGTAAAGTGAAAGGTCATTGGTTTAATTCCCAGTCAAAGCACAAGCCAGGGTTCAGTCCCTGGTCATGGCGCAACCACCTGATGCTTCCCTTTCTCTCTTTCTTCCTCCCTCTCCCTCTCTCTAAAAATAAAATGAGGTGGGCTGTGGTCCTTCGTCTCCTGTGCTACCTGTCCCAAGCACCCGAGGTGTCGGTGGGCAGCATCATGGACCGGGTAATGCAGTTCGTTGAGCCCAGTCGGCAGTTTGTGAAGAATTCAATTCGGCTGGTGAAAAGATGCACCAAACCTGATAGAAAAGAGTTCCAGAAGATTGCCATGGCAACAGCAATAGCATTTGCTGTAATGGGGTTCATTGGCTTTTTTTGTGAAATTGATCCATATCCCCATCAATAACATCATTGTGGGTGGCTGAATACCTTTTTAGAGGAGGGTTTTTACCTCTTGGGGATTGGTCACCATGAGAGGATTTGAGAAGCTCATGGAGTAAAAAAATTACCTGCATATTTTGCATTCTTTCATTTTTCCCCAGATGTTTTCTATTTCTAAATTAAAGTAATTTCAAAATAAAAATAAATGAATAAAATATTTTTTAAAAAGAAATGAAAGCAGGGACTCAAACATATATACCTGTATATTTATAGTAGCATAATTCATAGTAGCCAAAACATGGAAACAAACCAAGGTCCATTAACAGGTAAAGGGATAAACAAAATGTGGCATTTCCATGTAACAGAATATTGTTTAGTCATAAAAGGCTATGAAACTTTCACCCTGGCCAGATAGCTCAGGTGATTAGAGAGTTTCCAGATACCAAGGTTGTAGCTTCAATCTCAGGTTAGGCCATTTACAGGAATCAACCAGTAACTACACAAGTGGGTGGAACAACAAATCCATGGCTTCTCAAATCAAATTTTTTAAAATTAAAAAATGTTCTTTAAAAAAAGGAATAAAATTCTCACACATGCTACAATATGAATTAACCTTGAAAACATGATGCTGGGCTAAAAAAAACACCTATTATATGTCTCCACTTTTATGAGGCACCTAGAATAGGAAAATTCGAGGAGACAGAAGGTAAAGCCGAGGATTCTGGGGGCTTTGAGGAGCAGGGATAGAGATCGAGTGTTTAATGGGTACAGTGTTATTTGTCTGGAGTGATAAAAGAGTTCTGTAAGTAGATGGCGGTAATGGTTACACAACATGTTAACGTACTTAACGCCCCTGATTTGTACACTTACAAGTGGTCCAAATGGAAGGCATCTTTGAGCTCAGCAAGTCAACCCCATGTGCACAGCTCACCCTCCCAAGTTAAAAGAAAATTATGGACAAAAAGTTACTGAAATTAGATGATGGCATCCATGTCCACGGAATACTGTAGGAATCTGATTCCTTTACGAATCCTGAGCCAGAGAACACGTGGACAGATAATGACAACTAGTGGGCAACAGAACATTGAAATGGTGACAAAAGGGGGAAACACTATCATGTTAGAAGCCTTAGGGAGAGTATAAACAATAGCTGTGTTCACCCCTCTCCAAAAGGTCTATTTTAAAATAGGGTTGTGTACTTTTTCATATTAAGTTTTCTTTGTTAAATACTTTGTAACAGTCCAAAAATGGTTAAAATGGTAAACTGTATGTTACATACCTTTACTACAATAAAAATATATATATTAAAAAAAGGAAGAGAAAATAATGGTAAAGTTTGTTATGCATAGTTTACCACAATAATAAAGGAGCCAAGGGGCTCTGAACCAGTTCATCCGCAGCTGCTAGAGGAATCTTTGCCAACTATCTGTGCTCAGTAGAATGGTCCCATAGGGTTAGCAGCACGGCTTGATATGGGAGCACCTCCTTGTCCTTAGGTGTTAACTGAGTTTTGCTTGTGGTGTCTGACCAAAGAGATGGCTCTGGAGAGAAGCATTCCAAACCATCAAGCAAACCCCGACAAATTGCGTAGCCAGAGGCCTATCAGGTTTCTACCTCGAAGAAACAAAAGGGCTCACCAGTTTGGTGAAAGTTCACCTCCGCCCGGACTAATAGTTTTGAAGTCACATCTCTTCGCAAGCCGATCATGAATGTCCCTACCCCTATCTTCACTGAACTAACTCGGTCCCCCTGGACTCACTCAGTTCAGCTGTCACCTCCGGCGGAAAGCCTGCCCTGACCCTCCTCTGCCCAGGTCGGAAACCTCCTGTGGGGCCCCGTCTAGTGCCACCTTCATCACCCGTCTGAGATCCGGGGGCTGGCAGCCCAGAGGCCGACATCCCACAGTCCTGTAGCCGTACTGGAGCAACCGCCCAGCCCCGAAACAGTGGTTACTCACCACTGCAGGTGGAAGGTGTGGCCGCAGTGGATGGCAGCAACGTCGCGCGAGTGGTCGAAGAAGTCGGAGCAGATGGTGCATAGTGCACGGATAGGCATGATCACTGGACTCAACGGGCCCAGGCAGCCGTGGAAACCGCGAAAGATCCAGCTTCTTGGCTGCGTCCCCGAGCCTCAGCTCCTTCAAATTTGGCTCTAAAGCTCGACTTCCGGGATAGGACCGGAAGTGGCTACACGAAACTTGGAGGCGGAACCCGAAGGTTGAATTCGGATTGGACGAACCCTAGGGGCGGGGCTTAACGGCCCTGAGGCCAATTAGAATCACGGGGTGGAGCGCGGGCCGCAACCAGTCGCGGGTATAGCTCAAAAAGGGCTCAGCGCTGGATCCGGAGTGGGAACAGCTACGCTGCTGGTGAGAACGCTTTCTAGGGCAAACCAGAGCTGATGCGAGGCTTGCCAGTGCGGCACCGGCTCCTCGGCCCTGTTCTCTCAGGGCAGCATTCTCTGGACCTCGTGAGAGTCAAGACCGCGGCGGCAGGGGAAAGGGACGATGATCCCAATGGAGAACGAGTCCCCTGCGCTTGGACAATGGTGGACCGTACGCTAGAAGCCCACAGTTCCCACAGACCACCCTCCCAGCCGTCGGCTGTTGAGTCATCTTGGAAAGATGGACACAGTTTCCTAACCCTTCAGGACATCCTGAACTCACTCTGGCTTTATCCAAGCAAGGCACGGCGGACGATCCCCAAGTTTGGAGGCGGCAGGGCTAAGCTCTTAGCTCCCAGGAGGATCATTTATGCCTCTGAACTGCAGTGGGATTGGAATTTTGGAGGCCCAGATGTTTCATAGACCAGTGATTAACAAACTCTTTTTTCTTATTCCCACACCACAGAAGTTACCTTTGTGTCTTCCCTGAGAAAGAGAGTGGGTTCGCCTGGGCCGGTAGGGGCTGAGACAAGTCTTCCTGAGCCCTCACTCAACTATTTTTAGCAATGGTATGCCCCTCTCACCAGAAGAAGCCTTATGCAGAGCCCCATAATATAGAGCTGGTTTGTTCCACCTGAAGTAGACTCAGAGTGAATTCTTTGGGCCTATGTGGAAAGCACAGGTGTTGTTCCAGGAAGAGGGATTCTATACAGAGGGCTGCATAGAACCTGTGTGCAACACCCACGGTGCACCCTCTCCCCAACCCAGGGAAGGTCAATTCAGCTATCAGGAAGATCTCTCTCTCTCTGGTGGCTGGGTTTTGGTGGGTTCTAATTCTATGTCTAGGTTAAGACAAGGACTCCTTGTTAAACAGAACTTGTCAGGACAGCAGCCCAGAGGTTATTCTTTGGCACAAATCCATCATAGGACCCATCATCCACATGGATTACTACAGTCCAAAGGCACCTGTCACCACCATCAAGGAACGAACCGTGGCAAGAGTGTTTTGCGTTCTCAGCCCAAACAAGCCTCATGGCACCAAGCACAGACCACTATCTGTGAACCTGCTTCCAGCCTCTCCCCTCCCCACTGCCTTCCAGGGGCCCCTCCCCAGTGAGACAGAGGAAGCAAAGGCAAGAGGGTGGCCAGAGGCTTTGGCAGGGTGACATTTATTTGCCAGGTTCAGCAGGCACAGTTAGCCCACCGATCTTCATACACCAGGGCAGACCCACAGGCATGCAGGGAGAAGGGCAGGACTGCCACCAGAGTGCCGAGCAAGGGTCGGGACCGGTGTGGCTGCCTGCCCAGGCTGTGGTGGGGTCTGACACAGGGCACCTGCCAGGAGCCTCCATCAGGAAACTGGGGAGACTTATTCCACTTCCTCATCCCAGCAAAGGAACTCAGCATGGCTCAAGGGCACCTGGGCCTCTCTCTGAGCTGATAGAGGGGAAGGGGGTCAGACATAAAGGGGGTTCTTCTCTCTATTTTGTTGTCAAAGTGGGAGAGAGAAAATCTGCCCATGAAGGGCACACCCCCAAATCAGACTGGGACACTGCCAGGTGGCAGGCCCCCTGGGATGGGTGGACTGTAAACTGCTCCAGAAGGTGGCCATATGGGAAGAGCCCGGGGATATCAGCCCTTCCTGTTTAGCTCATGGGAAGGACCCAGGTAGGCTAGTGCACTAGGTATTGAACCTGCACGCTGTCCTCCCAGTTCTCATTGCCACATCCTAATTGCTCCTCCTTCCCCATATAGGTTCATGGACTCAGGGCACAGGGAAACCCACTGCAGGACCCAGGAGGGCAGGAAATAGCACAAGGGTCTTGGGAGGGGCTTCCCAGGGACAAAGATGGGAGCTTCTACCCTCCTCATTCTTTTTTCCTTCTGAGGACCCCCACAGCTACCAAGCATGCTCCCAACCACACGACCAGTCTTGTCTTAAAGCATACTGCCCCAGATTTCTGTGTTCTCTGTTCCAGCCTGTGCGCACTCCTACAGCAGCCCGCATACCACAGGCACATACCTCCATGTGTAGAAGCCTAAGACCGCTGACAGGGCCTCGCTGGAGGACCAGCTCTCAGGGCAAGGCCACCCAAGTTTAGAGCCTGGGAGAGGATGGGACCTGCAGGGCCTGCCTGGGGGGGATTGTGAGGCAAAAGAGGAAGGGGAGCAGGGACCTCCTGAGTATCCCTAGAGCAGCATCCCACAAGAAACAAAACCAGTGAAGCTAGCAAAAGACAGTAAAGCCACAAGGAATCCATGCAGGGGCTGGGGCCGGTCCTGCCTTTGGCTTGCTCTCCACTCACACACACACACACACACACACACACACACACACACACACAGGAGAGATGACACTCCTCTCCCGTGGTCCCCAGACATACCCTACACTGAGAGGTAGGGGCTGGGGGGAGTGAGGGCATCATGCCAGTGACTCTATATACAGTGAAAAGCCCCTCATCCACTCTCCCACCCTCCTGCCCTTCCCCGCCCCCCCCCCACCAGCCTGCCCACTCAGCTGGTCTCCTCCCTCTGAGACCCGACAGAGCCGGCAGCCTCTTCCCCTTTACTAGAGGGTGGAGCCTGGCCTGTTGTGCCCCCTGGGGCTATGCTGTCCGGCTGGGCCAAAGCCGGCTCAGGGGTGGCACTGCTTTGGCTGGTGGGCACAGTGCTCTCTTCCGTGGCTGGTGTGGCTCTCCCATCAGTGGCTGGAGTAGCACTCCTGTCAGTGGCTGGCGTGACGCTTCCATCCGTGGCAGGGGTGACGCTCCCATCAGTGGCTGGGGTGACACTCCCATCGGTGGCTGGGGTGACGCTCCCATCTGTTGCTGGGGTGCCGCTACGGTCTGCAGGGACTACATTATCACTCTTTGCAGCATCACCTGCTATGACTGAGGTGGCACTGCCCCCAAGAGCTGGGGCAGCTGCACTTGCAGCTGCGGCCCCACCTGCAGCCCCGGGAGCGGCAGTGTCTGTGGCTGGGGCGGACGGAGCTGCAGCGGCACCCGACTGCTCCGGTGCCCGGAGCCGCTTCATGAGAGTCGTCACTCGGACAGCTTTCTGAAAGCAGGACAGTGAAAGAGGCTTACAGATGGCGAATCCATTCCTTGTCAAAGGCCAAGCCCAGGTCCTTCCCATGGTGCCCCTGGCTGCCTCTGATCACCCCAGGGCTAAGTACCCAGCTGCTCGGCACACTCACTTCAGTTGGCAGCTACAGCTACGCTGTGGGTGGAGAAAAGCCTGTATGTGTGCAGGCAAGAGACTGTGGGTGCCAGAAGGAGCACTTGGGATCATTCCAGGAAAGAGAGCCATCCAAGCCTTACCTTCCACTTAGCCCTGGCAAAGTTCTTTTCAATCTGGGCACAGACACCATCCTTGATGTTTTTATCAGAAGCAGCATTGCCAGAAATCCTGGAAAGGGTGTGAATGTGTCTGGATCGGAAGTGTGGCCTTAATGGAGCCTCTGCCCAGCCCTTTCCTTGTAAGATCCAGGGATTACCAGGCAGACCATCTGGGCTCTGGCTGCACCCAACCCCCCCCCCCCCAAAGGCCTCTGGATGGAGCCTGCTTGGTGTGAGGAGGACGGGGGCCTGGCCTCTCTGCTGATCTTCCTTGGGCCCTGCTCACCACTCGTGGGAGATGGCCTCTTCTGCAGTGATCCGCTGGTCTTGCTCCACCTCCATCAGCCTTGTGACCAGGTCTTTGGCTGGGGACAAAGCCAGGGAGAGGCTAGGCATGGCACCCCATCTCACTGTCTAGAGGTGGTGGATGGGCTGGGGGGTAGGAGCAGAATCCGGCAGAGGAGGCTGAGAACAGGTCCCCCACACCAACCCTTTACTCTCCCCAGATGCTGGGCACCTCCTCACCCGCCTGTGAGATGTCATCCCAGTACGGGGAGTCAAATTCATAGTCGCCAGCCAGAATCTTGCGGAAGAGATTCTTGTCGTGGTTCTCGTAGTCATCTTCCTCCACCTCCTCGTAGAAAGGCGGGTTCCCTGAAAGCCTGCATGAGAGCCAGAGGGCAAGGTTGCCCAGGAAGGCCACAGGCACAGGCCCCCACACCACCTGGCTATGAGCCTCTATTTGCCCGTCCACTCACAGGATGTACATGATGACTCCAATGGCCCAGCAGTCCACAGGGCGGCCATACCGCTGCCGGCCTACCACCTCCGGGGCTGCAAACACGGTTCCAATCGGCTGGTCATTATCAGGCCTGCCAGGCCTGGTAACATTCACACCCACTCCCTGGAGACTTCCTTCCCCCCTACCCGGAGCCACTCCTTGAAGACTGTTTCCCACCCTGCCCCTGCCCCTCCTCTGCTTGCCCAGGTACTCAGGGGTCCCACAGGGTTCCTTGATGAGGCCATTCTCTAGCTTAGCCAGGTGGAAGTCGCTGATGACAATCTTTGAGTTCTTCAGCCTGTTGTAATAAACCAGGTTCTCCAGCTGCTCCGGCCAGAAACGGCATGTGGGTGGGCAGAGAAAGATCCCATGAGGAGAACCTCAGAGGCTGGACCAAGTCCCCAAAGTACTGCCCAGCCCGGCCCCAGGCCAGCTGCAAACTGACCCTCTGAGCAGCCTCCTGGCCTCACCTTGAGGTTCCTGTGCACGATCTTGAGTGAGTGCAGGTAGGCCACGGCCTCCAGCACCTGCCGCACCACGTTGCTTGTGTCTCGTTCCGAGTAGTAGCCCTGGTCCAGGATCCAGTCAAACACCTCCCTCCCCGTGGCCCTGAGGGACACCAGCCCCTGAGCCCGGCGTGGGCAGGATCAGGGGTGGGGCAGGAGCCCTCGGGCAGGCTGCCCACACCGGGTAGCTGGCTGGGCAAGGCACAGGGCCTGGGACCCCAAGGGTCCAAGCAAGGGGCTTTCCCTGGCTGTAGAGGATGGAGGAATCCTGGGACCCCAGGCCCACACTCACAGCTCCAGGAAGATGAAGTACTCCTTGCGGGTCACAAACACATCCACCAGTTGCAAGATGTTGGGATGTTTTACCCTGGCAGCCGACAGAAGAGCTGGTAAGTGCGGGTGGACCCCGAAGCGAGTGCTGCCACCGCCGCCTTGGACCACAGCAGACTAACTGGCCAGAGGCTCGTACTGCTCAAGGCTTCTGCCCTCCGGGCCCTGCCCTGCTGCCTCCCCGGCCCCCGGCCCCAGGCCTGACACTTACATCTTGAGGATGCCTATCTCGTTCTTGGCTGCCTTCCGCACCTTGCGGCCGTCCCGCTTCTGGAACTTCTTACAGGTGTGCAGCTTGCCCGTTGTCTTGTCCTTGGCCCGGAAGATCTCACAGAACTCTTCACTGCAGCAACGCGCACCCGCTCAGCCCTGGCCTCAGCTTGGGCCGCATGCCCCTCCCCTTGCCCACCCACCCTTGCCCACCAGACCAGCACTCACGTTTTGATGACCTGTCCCAAATCATATCTGTCAGTCACCTCCGATGGCTGGTTGTAGTTCTTCTTGTCACCCAGAGTCACACACCCAAACGGCATTGCCAGGCTCTGAGCTGTGGGCAGGATGGGGTCTGGCTCAGCTGTACCACTCCCCACTGCTCCCCACGACACAGAGGTCGTCCCTGGGAGACCCCAGCCTGGCTCAGGCCAAGCCAGGGGCAGAGTCTAGGGCAGCAGTGGCCAAGGGTGGTCAGACTCAGATCCTACCCCTGCTTTTCTGGCCACACCCCCAGCCACTCAGCTCGCCTCCCTGAACTCCAACAGCTCCTGTTTACAAAAACGGTACTCAACTGACCTATCAGGGAATCACTTTGTAATATATACACTGACAAGGGTGACTGAATGATTTCTTTACATTTCAGCTATTTTACAGGCCAAGGGGGCGGTAACCACCCACCCCTCAGTCAGCGATCTCCGAAAGTCTGAAGATACCAAGTGTTGGCAAAGACCACGAGCAGAACATGAGTACAGCCGGGGGAGGACCAGCCTCCCTCCCATGGGGAAAGCAGTTTGCTGAAACCATGGACGTCAGACATACCCTATGAATCAGCAATTGCACTGCTAAATATATGCCCAACAGAAATACGTATATGTATGCATCGGGGCACTCGTACAAGGATGCTCGCAGTTGCAATGCTCACAGTTGCCAAAAAACCAGAAACAACCCAAATATCCATCAACCTGGTGACACTGCGTGTGGGTCATGACACGGTCACACAATGAAACTTACATGACAGGGGAAGTGACGTAGCTATAGCGAGCGATGCCCACCCACAGGGTGAAGCTGAGGGTGCTGAGTGAAAAAGACACAAATGGCTACGTATGGGGTGTGATTATATAATCTAGAATCAATATGTTGTCAGTTATAGAATCGACATGAAGCTCCAGGCAGGCAGAACTAGCCTGCGTTGTCTGAGGACATAAACATACCGGCAAAACTGCAAAGAAAGCTAGGAAATAAACACCACGGGTCCTTCTAAGAGAAAGAAAGGGGTTGCGATTGAGGCAGGACCCCTGGGGGGATTCTGTTCAGGATTTCTGAACCAGCGTGATGGTTTTACAGCTTTACAATAATTTGTGAAAATGTACATACAGGTTTTGGCACATTCCTAAATTTTTGTTATGTTTCACAATAAAAAATGTTAATAAAAAAATGGTCACCCAAACTAAAGAATACTTGGTGACTATTAAAAAGAATAACGTAGATTGAGCCTTGGCTGGTCAGTTGGCTCAGTTGGTTGGAGCACCGTCCCATGTACCATAAGGTTGTGGGTTTGATCCTTGGCCAGGGCGCTTATGAGAGGCATCCAATCCATGTTTCTCTCTCACATCAATGTTCTTCTCTCTCTCTTTTTCTCTCTCCCTCCCCCCACCCCTTGCACTCTCTCTAAAATTAATACACATATTAAAAAATAAAGTAGATTGAAATACGCTGCTGCGGACAGTCTCTGAGATACGCCGTGAAGTGAAAAAGCAGTGGACAGAATGGTGGGTTAAGAGTGCTGCTATTTGGCTAAATTTTTAAAAATTTACCTGGCAGTTTACATAATCCTGTTTTGGGAGGACAACTAAGAAATTAAGAGTTCTTTTTAGGGCAAAGAGTTGATGTTGGAGGGACAGGTTTATATCTTTCGTTTAACTTCCTCTTGGGGTTTTCAGTATAATCATGCAGACTGATTTACTAACCACCTCACTCAGGCACTGTGCTGGGGGGGGCGGTCCTCAGAAGCAGAAACCCCACCCAGGCAGAGAAGCAAGGAGAGACTGAGGAAGAAGTGCTCAAGGCCAGGCCTGAGAGCAGGAGCATTTGCCCGGAGGCCGCAGGGCTGACGGCCCGGAAAAGGTTTGGAAAGGCAGCACAAGCCTGCCTAGTGCCTCACCGCTGGCGCCCACAGGAGACCTGGGCACTCGGGTCCAGGATAGAGGCCGCTGGCTAGGGGTGGGCGTTCCAGGCACAAGGGTGACCACTTGCAGAGCTGACTGCAGAGGGCTCCAGGCACTCTGGCAGCTGGGGCACGGTGCCCCGCAGGTCAGCCCAATTGCCACCTGCGGTGCTGGGTGGGCTGACTCCCTGACCCAACAGAAAGGCACTCATAGTCCTTGCTCAGAGGCAAACTTCGGGAGGCGAGCTGGAGACAGTGTTGGGACCTTTGCAGACCTGACCCAGAGTCTGTCACCATAGTATCTGGTTGCAGGGACCCTGGGGCTCCAGCAAGCTCGGCGGAGCCTGCTTTCAATCGGCTCCGGCTCGGCTGGCTGCAAGTTATTGTCCCTCCACAGTGATTAGCACTTACTGCTCACAGGGCCAGGGAAGGGGCCTCCATGCTCCCCTACCTGGAGTCACTCACAGCCACGGTGTAGTGGAGAAGGGAGGAAGCCACCACCAGAGGAAGGAGCTTGGGTTAGAGGGACTCTGCCAGCCGGGATCCAGGGCCAGGGCCCACACAAGCCCCATAGCCAGCCCTGGCTGTTGCTCGCTCACTCCCTCCCTTCTAGGCAGAGGCCACCCACTTCCCAGGGGGTCACGGTCCTGGAGGTTCTCCCTCAGATTTGCCCTCGGCATCAGTGAATGAATTCTATCGTTCCCTCATTTGGGTTGTTCGAAGCTTGGGGATCGCAACCGTATTTCATCAGCGTGGCACAAGACAGGGCTTAAGCCATCTTGTGAGACGCTGCAAAGGCGAACAAGAGAAGCTTTGAAGATCGTCCCTGGCTGCAGCTGTGTGTCTTTGCAGCCGTGGTCACAGCCCTGCTCCTGCGTCTGCCGGGGAGGAACATGTGACTAGGATCCCGCTCTGACAGCTGACGGCAGAGGTGCAGCCACCCACCCCTGGGGCCACCCATCTCTCTGCCCTAAATCTGGGGAGGGGCTGCATCAGTCCCTCTGGTGTGTTCCACGGTCCCCTTCCCTGGCTGGAATCCGAGACCTTGGACCGGGTCCCGCAGGCACACTGGGAGGGACTGTGTCCCAGCTCTGTGGCTTTGCCTAGACCATTCCCTCTGGCAGGAATGCCCTTCGCCCCAGTCTCCCATCGGTATCCTATTTGTCACGCCAGAGTTATTTATAACATGAAAAAAGCCCAGCAACTACCTAAACATCCAACAACAGGTGACTCGCCAGCTCAACAGTGTCCACTCAGTGGCAGGAAGCGTGGGCACTGCCCACCTTGCCTCCCTGTGGAGCGGCCTCCACCTGAGCCAGGTGCCGGCACCAGGGCCAAGGCTCTTCTTTCACTGCAATTTCTGACACAAGGTTGTTTGTGCAACAGATTGTCTAAAACAATCCCGATGCTCCAGACTCAGAACGGCCCTTCTGAAATACCTTCCACTACTTCCACCTCCCCCCACCCCACTCCATAGCTCCCCGCTCTGACGCACCGCGTGGGAGGTTTTGTATATGCCTGTCCCTGATCTCGGCCTAGCTTTTGGCCATGCACTTGTACTTGTGCCCACAGGGATCCAGGGCTGCTCTTGAGATCTGTCCCCACCACAGAAATCCAGCCCTCTGCTCACAGTCACATCAGACTGATGTCATGTCCTAAAGCCTCACGGGCAGAGCAGGAACGGATCCACCGGCCCCCACCAAGGCTGCCCTGGTCTCAGCCCACTGCGCTGGCGTCTCCTCACCAGAGAGAAGAAAGGGGGCCCTGCCGGTTAGCGCCTTGGTCCCCTCCACCCCCACCACTGTACCATCTGCCACCCACTGCTGCTGCCTGGGAGGCTGCTGGTGCATAGAGCCCCCAATACACCTGTCTGCAGCAAGGTGGCTGGGTGGCGGGGCAGGGGGGCGAGGGGGGGCGGCCCCAAAGCTGGGAGGAACAGCCAAGACACAGCTTCAAGAACTAAAAGGCCAGGCAGAAAGGGGTTTGCATTTCGCACCCCCATGGCGCAGACAGCTCAGACTCAACACACAACAGCGGGGAGCTCCAGCAACACAGAACCGGGCTCTGACTTGAGTCCACACTGGGACATGGGAGGGCGAAGGAGCCTCACAGCAGTCGTTTCTCAAGAAGGCACATGGCTTCTCCCATTCTCCGCAGAGAAACTGAGTGGTGTGCCCAGGCGGATGCAGAGCCTGGCACTGCCACTGCCCTCCTGCCAGCTCTGAGGGAGCCTAAGGGCCAAGCACTGCTCATTCTGACCTCTGGGCTCAGGCCGTCAAGCCTTGGGCAACCCTGAGGAAGCCTCTAACAGCAGGTGCCCTGGTAACAAAAGGTCCCCTAGGGGCCCTACTGCCGCCTAAGGCCAGTCTGGCCTAGGGGGAACCTGAGAGGGACAGAGGCCGGATCCAGAGGGACAGAGGCCGGATCCAGAGGCCCAGAAGTCCCACAGGAGAGTCCTGTCCCCTCCTTTCCAGTAGGGTCAACCTGATGCTGACCCCAGCTTTCTTAGGCCTGCACAGGCATTTCCTGCCACCCTGTCCTCTGCCATGTGGGGTTCCACAGCTTACAGCAAACCTAGGGAGGCTTGAAGGGGCCAGGAGGCTTCAGCTGCCTCCCGACAACTGTGGACAACACCTCCCGATTTAGTGGCAGCTGTGAACACCAGCCTGCAGCACCCACTTCCTTTCTCCTCCCTTGGGGACTGGGGCTGGGTTTCCTGATGCAATGGACATGCCTACCTAGGCCCAAGCCCTGCCTGGCCCACAGCTGAGGCCTCACCGGAAGCACCAAGGGAACTGGAGACCTCATACTCAGGGTCTGGCGTCAGGAGGCAGGGCCAAGCTTCTAGCCCACCATCCAGCTGCTTCAGGGAATGGGCCAGGAGCAGTGCTAGCTGTGCTTCAGGCTCTAGCTAAACCGTATCCCTAGGCCCTGCCGTGGACTCTCTTCCATCTAATGAGGGAGTATGGAGAGAGGGGCATCTGCAGTCCCCGGAGTGGGCATTCAATCCTGCACTGCTTCTAGAAAGTTCAGTCCTCAACATTCAGCCAGGGCCAAGAGCCAACTGACCCTCCTGGGGGTCTGGGGTCCCAATCTTTGAACCCCTGAAGGAAAAATCTACTGGGGACCCTGCCTCCTTATGGGTGGAGGAGGGGAAATGCAGGGGAAGGCTCAGAGAGCAAAGGGTTGCTATGGTGATGGAAGTTTTAAAACAAGGGGAATGGGAGGAGGGAGGTGCTGGCCAAACCCCTTCTGCAAGAATTCCCTGAGGCTTTTGCCAGCTTCCTTCCCCATGGGTTCTGTGATGCTGGTTCCTATGAAGGACAGGGAGGTGGGGGGACTGAGAGACTTTAAAAAAAGAGAGAGTGGGGCAAGGACACGGAGAGACAAAGGCACGACCTGTGACGGAAGGGGAGCAAAGAGGCACCAGAATAAAAAGGAAGCAGCCACGAGGATACAGGAGGGGAAGGTGGGCAGGTGGCTCTGAAGGGGCCTGTGGGTGCCAGCAGAGCCCTAGGCCTTCATAGCCACGTGCCCTAAACACCTGGGCCAGGAGCCACCCCGGACCCTGGACCTTTGAGGCTGACGCCCTGCATCCCCTGGACATGCATCTAACCTGATGTGGGAGGCGCAGCCTCAGCCTGGGGGAAGAGGCCAACTGTTGCCATTCCCTAAGTCAAAGCATGCCTCAGCCCCTCCATTGCCATCATCGCCAGGCTCAGGTCAGGCAGGCCCCATACATGGAAGGTGGAAGGTGTGAGGGGGGTGGAGACAAGCTGGGAGACCTGGCTGCTTTCCTTCACAGCCCCTCCTCTCAGTGGCCCAGCTCTGCCAGGACTCCCCTGCCACACACCTCCCTCTTCTGCTCTGCTCTCCTTGGGCCCCCAGGAGGCCTTGGGTCCCCAGGGCTCCTCTAGCATCTCAGCCTAATTCCCTGCTACCTCTGTCCCCTCCCAACAGTGCACCCTGTCAGGAGCACCAGAAAGAGCACTCTAAGCCACCTAGAAACAGGATGACAACTGCATAGCCCCACCTCTCCTTGCCTCAGTTTCCCTAGATAGGGATCGCAGACTGGGCAGCCTTCTTCCAGGGCAAGGACTGATGGCCTACTAGTGGGTGGTGGCCAGGACATGGGCCGGAGAGGAGGCCGGGCAGCAGATATGGGAAAGGCAGCCTATGGCGCCTGGAGTCCACACCAAGTGCTCTTTAAAAAAGTGGGGGCGGGGGAGGCCTCCCCACCCCAGAGCCCAGGCCGACACTGAGAGAAGTGGGGACCCGGTAACCCCAGTTGAGGAAACTGGGGCCCAGCAAGTGGCTGAAGCTGACAGGAATCAGCTCGAGGTAGGGGGCAGCCAGGTCTCTGCAGGTCGTCCCACCTCCCCAGGTGGGGGCTCTCAAAGCCTGCGCCTTGGAGGAGGGCCGCAGTACAGGGACTGGACTGCTGCAGCCGGAGCTTTTGGTGAGGGCCGGAGGGCCTGCTCCCTAAGAGGGAAGCTGGCCGAGCAGCCTCTGCCTAAGGGGTGCGGACAAAAGCAGTTTGCAGAGCCGTGGGGGGGGGGGGGCGCTGGGAGGGCCCAGGGTCTCTGCAGATGCTACAGGCTGGGGAAGGAAAACACCCCATCTTTCACTGTCCGCCCCTCCTTCGCCAGGGGGCCCTGCTTCCCGCCGCGGTGCCACCCTGACCCCCTTCCCCAATGCTACTGGCTCGCCCCCGCTGGCACAGCAATACACATGCGGGAGGCACACGTGTGAGCACCAAGCCCCGCACCTCCCAGCAGAAACATGTGCGTCCCCCACCCCCACTGCCCAGCGCTGGCGGAGCCTTGAACCCCAGGCTAGGCCCGGTGTTGAGGCTTGGGATCTAGATCTTGGCTAGGGGGCTGCTGGTACCCAGAGGCTTGGAGCCCCTTCGCTGCTCCCAGCAGCCCCGCCCAGCCCCCTCCAGGTTGTCGTCCATAAAAAAAAACTCTGTTGTCATGGAAATTAGTGACTGCTTTGCGCGGGAGGGAGGGAGCCGGGGGCAGTTGGGAGGGCTGGAGGCTCTGGGAGTCAGGAGGGACCGCACAGCTCCCGGGCCCTGCCTCAGTGGGGCACCGCGAATGTCTGAGGGTTAATGTTTTCACAATTAGGAGCTTAGCGAGATGGGGGGCGGGGAGTACACAAGGGGGGCGGGGGGCGGTAGAGGAGATTCGCCTGCATCTGACTCAGAGGCTTCCCCTGGGACCCCTCCGCCCAGCCGTCAGAGGTGACAGGGAACTTTAGCCCAACCCCGCACGCCGACCCCCCGGATCTGCAGAGCCCGCGTGCTCTGCCCCCGCCGAAGCCCAAGCCTCGCGGGGACCCGCACACTTGGCGACCCGAACCTCAAAGCAGAGACCCAATCCCCCAAGACCACAACGTGCGTGCTGGGGGGGGGGGACGCCCCCCGGCCCGGCCCGTTCCGCACCTGCAGCGCCGGTCGATCACAGGTAGGATGCGATCGCGGGTTCAGCGGGGGCACTGAAGGCTCCAGGGGCGGCGGGCAGAATCTGCTCCTAGCACGCGGGGCAGACGCGGCGCCAGCTGCAGCCGCTTCGGCTCGCGAACCTCCAGCATCTCCCGCCGCTCGCCCGCATCAGATTCGCACCCGGGCCGGGGGCGGGCTGGGGGCGGGGCTTCCCTCAGCCGGCTCCGCCCCGCCCCTGGCGAAGCCTGTGGCTGGAACCCCACTCGAAGGCGAGCGGACGCGGGTGGCACCGGTCTCCCACCCCTTAGGCTCCCTTAGGCCCTCGAACTGACTGGGCAACAGGGGTCGGAGGGGCCTCCCTATGTCCGCTGCAGGGCTGGGGAGTAGGAGGTGCGCGGAACGCCTGAGTCCAGGAGCTGCACAGGACCCAAAGGGTGGAACCCGCTTGAAAGAACCAAGTGGGCAGTCGCTAAGGCAAGCGGCACTACAGGCTAGCATCCCCTAGCTAAGAGTAGTAAACAAACGGGGGACGTGTGCGCGCGCACGCGCGCGCGCGCGCGAAACTGGCCAGTGAGGGCTCCAGACCACCGGAGGCAGAATCTCCTTCCCACTCCAAACTCCACTCCTGCAAGGCCAAAGCCTGTGCCATCCTCAAGTCTGGGCCAGGGTGTCTGGCGCAGTCAACTCTTCCTATTGTCGCACTGAATTTCCAAACTGTAAAAGTCACCTATGGCATGATGTGGAACCTGCTTTCTTCCCAGTTTTACCGCCCACAAAACACTCCATAAGCAGAATCACCATCGGTGGGTGCCCTGGGCTGGGGAGGGCAGCCGGAGATGGAAGCCCGGACAACGAAGCCCTACGCCTGTGCTTCTCTGGCTGGGGGCTGAGGAGACCCAGCCCCTCACTGGGGGAGGCTGAGAGCCGCCAGGCAGAAGCTCTAAAAGAAGGCTTTGGCCATTTCTCTGCCCATTGTCAGGGAGGTGCATGGACCCAGCTTGGCCCTGTCCCCTCACAGGATCTGAGGGACAAACTTAGGTTTCTCCACCCCTGAAGCCCAGCTCCACCCAGCCCAACGCTCCCAGCGAACCTTCTGACCCCATCCTGGGACGGGTCCTCCCCAACCCTTGGCCATGTTGAGTCTCCCCTGCATGGCTCCTCATGGCTACTGATGGGAGTGACTCCCCAAGTGTGGAAGTTGGGGCTGGGGTTGAAAGGCTAGTCTGGACAATGACTGCTAAAACAAGGCCCCTCAATATCTTCCTCTGGAGGGGTTGTTGAGGAGCCCTTCACATCCCTCCCTGGCTTTGGGTCCCCTCTTCCAGGCCAGACTGATTCACATCTGGGTGGTCTCAGTCATGGCACCAACCCCACTGCTGAAGAGGCATCTTCTGGGCACCGGCAGCTCAGAGCCTGCGTCTCACCTCCACATGCTCAGCTCCTGTCTGCAGAATGAATGAACGCCCTGGCACTCAGTCCTGCCTGCTGTCTGCCCACTTCCCTGACACCACGGTTCTCCAAGGTGTGTGGAGCAGCTGAGCCATGGCTGGCTGAGCCCCCACATCATACATGTTTTCTGTCTTTCCCGAAGGTCATGCATATCCAGGCACGAAGAAGCTGAGCTACAGAGAGGCAGCAATGGGGGATTTAGAGGCAGGGGAAGAGGTGGCTTGCGAGAGCCCTGCCTGCTGCTGGCAGGGCTCCACCTCTTCTTGGTCCTGTGCACACTCCATGTGCCTGTGGGTGAGAGCACGTGGCAGGATATATGTGCACACGTGTGAGTGTGTCTGTGTGTGTGTGCTCTTCTGCTAGAGGAGAAGGCGACAGCACTGTGTGTGCAGTGGTGCCCAGGGGCACGTGTGTCTGCATTCTGTGTGCACCCAGGCGTGCTTGCTCGCACATGCTCGTGGATGCAGTAGCTCGTCCTGGGAGACACTGGTGCCCTTCTTACGTGACACAAGCCTCAGGGTTGTGGAGATTGAATTAGGGTGTTAGGACAGGACATGGGAAGAGGCTGCACCACGCCTAGGGGTGGGCAGGGGCTGGGATGACACTGCGTTATTGGCTGTATCTAGTCTCTGCACTTAGGGCAGCCCCTCATCCTTGGGAGGGTGGCGGGTGGTGTGCACCTGCATGGTGGGAAGGTGTAACCAGGTTTTTGTCTTTTCTGGAGAGGACAACCTAAAGACAGAACCCAAGGTTGTGGTTGGGCCATAGTTTATCCCTCAAGCCTCCAGCCAGAGCAGCACAAGCAGGGTAAGGTTAAGCTTTGATCTTTAGGTGCCCTCCAGGCAGGAAGTAATAGCACCAGCAGAATGCCATCCTTCCAGCTTTGTCGGACCAGGGGCTGGGACCACAGGCCTTCATTTCTACTCCCTCTTTCAGAGCCAGACAAGGTCAGGAGCCATGGCTTCTGGCCAATGCCCTGGACAGGGGGGTGACAAGAGGCCCCAGCACAGGATAGAGTTTGGGACAAGATCAGAGGTGGTCAACATTGCCTGATAGCTTCTAGGAGGATCTCCTGAGGTGGCGTGTCCCCCCAGCCGCCCTGTGAGCAAGAGCTGTCTGTGTTGGGAGGCTGAACAGGAGAAGAGTGTCCAAAGTTGACTGTTCTGCCTCTCACCTGAGCTGGATGTCAGAGAAGCAACATACAGTGTGCCCCAGGGAACTGAAGGCCAGCACCCCTGCACCCTCACATTCTGTCTGGTGGACGGAAACCCCTGCCTACCCAGCAGAGGGCTCCAGCCGAAGTTCAGATTTTAGGAGGTAACTGCATTACAAGGCTATCTCCCCCATGGAGCCCAGACTCTGACAGGTACTGTCCCTTGGGGGCAACAAATGCTGCACGTCCCCACCCATCTTTGGAACTATTTGGCTATGGTCTCTGTTGCTGGCCTCAGCCCCCTCTATAGAGCCCAAGATGGGGGAGGGCAAATAGTCTTCTCCTGAGCAGCTAGGGGAGGGGGCTGCCCCCCCAACATGACTCACTCCAGGCTGTGTGGGTTATTACATTATGTTTGAAATTGCCATGGCAACCAGCTGGCAATCAAATGTAATTGCACTTGTTGCCAGGGCAACGGGGCAAAACCCACAGCAGTCACTCTCTGTGTTTGCCCTTGGGGTGCAGTAAAGGTCAGGTTAGACCAGGGTCAATGCCAAGGGGCTCTGGGGTGCTCTACAAAGGATGGAATCGCCGGGACCTGTGGAGCTCCAGCGTGCAGAGGCTGGGTGTGCCCTCGGCGTGCCAAGGGCCCCATCCCTGACCCCATGCTGGGGCTCCTGCCCTTCCCACAGCACCCTGGGCCTCAAACATGCCACAGTGCTCGAAGTAAGGAGAACCAGAACTTTTATGTGCTCACAGGTTGTACTTATAGATGGCCCATGGGCCCTCCTCCTCGTACTCACGGCGGCTGAGCCACAGGTTCTGGAAGGAGTCCCGGGATGCCATGATGGAACCTCCAAGCCAGGCGGCAACTGCGCGGTGTGGAGAGCCCAGCACAGTCGCCCCAGGACCCAGATCCTGTCTCAAGCGCTCAGGAAAGCCACTCAGCAGGGTGCTGCCACCCTCCAGCACCACATTGGCTAGCAGCTGCTCCTGCTGCTTGGCCTCCAGCCGGCTGATGCTTTGGAGGGCTAATTGTGGAAGGCCTGGCTGATTGAGGCCTAGCAGATTGGGCTGGAAGAGGGCCTCAGGGCAGCAGAAGCGCTCAGAGCCCAGTGTGATGACCTGCTTGTCCGGAAGCATGAAGTTCACTGGGGCCCGGGCCTGGGTGCGGGCCATCTCGGCTTTCACATCCAACGCCACATAGCAGCAGGCCTCTTTAAACTGGTTAACAAGCCCTTTCTCGGGCGGCGAGTGGCCGCCAGCCAGCAATAGCTGAGCCAGGTATTCAGTGAGGTCAATACCGGCCACATCCAGGCGGTAGGTGTCAAGTGGGGCCAGATCTCCCGTGAGGATGGGTGCCACATAAGAGGTGCCATGACCACTGCCCAGCACCAGCCCAGTGGTGCGCCCGTAAGCATAGAGCGCCAGCAGGGCCTGGTGCGCTGTCTGCATGGCGGGCACGTGGAAATGCTCAAAGAGAATTTCAGCCACCTTCTCGCGGTTAGTGCGCGGTGAGATGGGCGAGTCGGCCACGAGGACAGCCAGCTCCTCGGGCTGTACGCCCAGCCTGCAGTAGAACAGGTGCTGCCACAGCACCTCCAGCGCGTCCCAGTCGGAGACCACCCCTCGATTCAGCACCATGCAACAGCCCTCTCTGTTCTCGGGCAGGACGTACCCGGGCTGGTGCTGGGCAGGTGGCTGTAGCGGCTGCATGCACGAGGGCACCACACTGAGGACATGGTCCTCTCCGGTCAGTCCGCACTTGGTGAAGCCTGTTCCTGTGTCAATCACTACAGCTGCCATGTCCTGATAAGGACCCAGGGTGTGGCAGCAGAGCACTGGGGACCGTACTGGCAGAGAATCTGTGGGGGACACCAGCTCATAGTAGGTCCCACGGAGAGGGCCAAGTTTGGTGACCACTGTTGAGTCTGTAATGTCCTTAGCTGTGTGCTTGAGCTGGGGGCCCTGGGGCTCAGTGCCCCCCATGGCTGTGGGCAAGACCCTGAAGCCAGGGCCAGGCGCGGTGGACGTGGTCAGGGAGAGCTGCTCCTCTGGGGCGCTGTGAGAGCTGCCCGGTGGCCAGGATGGCTGCTGCTGTGTGCCGGAGCTTGGAGCGGCGCTGATGCCGACCTTTTCTCTGCTCACATAGACACCATGGGTCTTTTCAGGGGCCAGTGGCCCCCGAAGCACCCCCACATGGGCGGGCAGACCCAAGGCCTCACCTTCCTGGCCAGCCTCCCTGCTGGTCGGGGGGCCTACTGAGAGGATTGGCTCTGTGGAGAGGGGGGGTTCTTGGGGAAAGGGAGGCTGCCTGGGAAGGGCAATCCCAATGAGAGGGGGCTGGTCAGAAAGGGGGTGCTGCTTGGTGGACGGGGGCTGCTCAGCAGAGGCAGGCTGACTAGTTGGAGGGGGCTGTCCAAAGAGGGGATGTTGCCCAGCTAGCAGAGGCCAACCACCACGGGAGTCCTGCCTAGCGCCTTCAGCCTGAGGGCTGTTGCGGTGGGCAGTGTGGACCTCTTTCCAGCTTTGGGTGCCAGTCTCCTCCAGTAGCAGGGATCTGGGTGCCTGCTGGGGTGCAGCTGAAGGAGCAGGCTCCGGGGCTGGCTCTGGGTTCATCCACTGCAGTTTCTTGGCCTGGGCCGCAGAAGTGTCCTGCATCCCAGAAGCATCCAGTGTCCCGATGGTGTGACTAGATCCAGTTTTTTCAGCATTAGGTTCAGAGCAGCCAAGATCATGGACCTGGTTCAATGTCCTCGTACCAAACTGGAGGGGCATCCCCAATGGAATGGGCTCAGTGAGCACCGCCACCGTGACGGGTGACTCAGTACCAGGGGCGTCCAGGTGGAGCCTGGCCTCCTTGGGGACCAGGGCCACCTCTCGGTAGCTGCTGGAGGAGAGGCTGGAGGGCACGGGGCTAGACAGCACTGACGAGATGGGCCAGAAGGTGGGATGATTGCTGTCAGGAGAGGCGATGGGCACGGCCGCTGGCCAGGGGCTCGGCAAATTTTCAAGGGCATAAACCGCTGGGTGTTTGGGCGTGAGGCCCACCAGTACTGCTCGTGAGCCCATGGGGTCATGGCACAGCTGTCCCGTCCTGGTGTCGCCCGTGGCCACATCAAACACCAGCACATGGTCTTCCAGGACATCCTGGAGCTGGTAGACAGGAGCAGTGGAGGGGACAATCTGTATGGCTTCTTCGGGAGGCTGGACTGGGGACTGCTTGTGGTAGGTGGCTTGGCAGGCAGACAGGGGCACACTGGAGCAGGTGTTGTTGCCAGCTGTGAGGGGCTGCCTGGCTGACCGGGGGCCGAGGCTCTGCTGGCTACTCCTCCAGCAGAACTTGGGGGTGCCCACCCTTCCTGAGAGTGGTGTTGAGCTGCCTGGCCTGGAGGTGCAGACCGGAGGCTTCTCAGGCTGCTGGGGTAACACCTGCCTTCCAGCAACCTGAAGCTCCTGGGCATGGCCGGGGGACACTTTCTGAGTGGGTCCTGGGGTGGGACGCTTCTCCTGAGAACCAAAATGCACTCTGTCCTGGCAAGATGTGGCCGCATTGGAAGGCTCCAAGAAGACTGACAATTGGTTGCCACACTTCCTGAGTAGGGGGTCTTGGGACAAGCCCTTGGTGACAGCAATGCTACCAGTCAGGTGGTCGGGGTCGTAGGTACAAGGTTCAACTGCTTCTGGCTTTGGGGTTGTTTCCAGAGCTGGAGTGTTTGCCAGAGTTGAAGGTGGAGGAGCATGAGCGAGGCACAGGCACTTGCCCTGGCCTTGATCTTGGGCTGCAGTCAGAAGAGGACCTTGGGCTATAGCTGAGCCATCCTCCCCTGGAAGGAAAGAGGGTAGCCACTGGCTCGTCCTAACACCCAAGGGAGCTATCTGGTCGGTGCTGCTGGGCCCTTTGCCCCAGCCTACCAGGACTTTAGCTGGAGCCTTGCCCGCCCTCGCACCCTGCACCTGAAACCAGGAGCAGCCGGATCCGTGCTGGACCACATCACTGGTGCTGTCACCGTGCATGTTCAAGGGAAGGGTCAGGGTCCCATTCTCCATGATGAGATGCAACTGGGCTCCCACGATGGGGCTTGGTAACAGACTAGTGGAGGAGGATCTTGTGGCATCGGGGGAGGCCTGCTCGTAAGCACACTGTGCGCCAACCTCAGCAGGGTCCAGGAATAGCTGGTAAATGGGCTCAGGGACATGGGCCTGGGAGGCCGGGCCAACGGCTCCCTCAGTGATGGCCTCAGTGGGCAGTGACAACCCCGGCCTAAGGCATATGGACCCTGAGTTTGCCCATAGTCCCTGGGACCCTCTGAGGCTACTCCCTAGCTCCTGACTTCTGTCTGAGGGGTGGCCCCAGGGGCCCAATGGATCAGGGTCCCCCACCTTCTTGGTGACGTCCATAGTCCTGCTCCATGCCCTAGGTGCCCTGCCCCCACTGCATTGCCATGACAACCCCACACATCACAGCTCCCAGTGACCTGGGTGGAGGTGACAGTGTGTAGAGAACCAGGGGCCCCACCCAGGGAAGCCGGGAGACAGAAATGTCCAATCAGCCCAGTAGAGCCTGCCAATCCTAAGCCAGCCTCCTGTCCCCTTACCAGCCAGGTGACCGCTCTGCTTGGTCCAGCCCTACAGTGAGGCAGTGCTCTGGGAGCAGGGAGGGTGGGCAGGGGAAGGCCAAGAGAGGAAGGCGGACGGGGGAGATGCTGAGGATGCCCCGGGCGCCCGGTCTACCTCACATGCCACATTCGGCTCTCTCTACCCATTACCCATGCGGCAATTTGATATGAGGCCTTGACCCACGGAGGCAGTTCCGAGTATGTGACATGAGGCCCTTTGTGGGGTCAAAGCCTCTTCATCACTCAGTCCTGGGGGCAGAGGAGGGTGAGGGGCCCAGGTTCAGACCCAAGCTCCCCTCCCCCAGGTTCTTCGGCTCCCGCCCCAGGGACAGAAGCTCCTTGGCAGTCATTCTGCTCAAGATGGTTCTCCTCCACCTGTGCCTCACAGAGCCCCTCCCCAGAGCCACCCATCCTTGGAACCTAGGACTGGTGTCCCACAGAAGTGGGGATGGGGACCGTAGGGGTGGGGGCAGGGCCTCGGCTCAGAATTCTCAAGTCAGAATGTTCTAGCTCTTGTCATATGGTGGCCAGGAGGGGCTAGAACACTGTGTATAGGGCTGGGCCTCGGTGAACACAGGGCCAGCCAAGAGACAATTACAAGTTGGGGCACAGAGGGCCACAGTGGCTCCAGGTGCACAGTTGGTACACCATGGGGCACGGTGGGTGCGGGCCCAGACACACAGTGGGCACAGCTGCATACATGTGAAGGCCAGTCAGATGAAGGCCTGGACATGGGGTGGGCTCCTAGGAAATGTAAGCTATTAGACCAGGTGGGCAGTTCCACTCCATTTCTCAGATGGGCAGAGGGACAGAGAGGGGCGGGGCCTGCCTAGACCACCAGCCTAGGCCCAGACCTGCCCTGCCTCCACAGAGGACGGACCTGGGCAGCCGGCTGGGGCATTGCTCACTGCCGAAGGCCTGCACCTAGAGGTCCTGACCTGGCCCTGGGTCAGGCCCTCCTCCATCCCCCCAGCCGTGAGCTCTGGGCCTCCTCCCTCCGTCCTCCAGGCCGAGTCCTTTCAGGCCTCAGTCTTTCTGCCCATGAAACAGGTCTGTGGAGAATGCAGCTGTAGGCTTGTCCTCTGAAGCTGCGTGTTTTCACAAAGGTTAAAAATAGTGCTTACAGTTGGCCGTGGGGTGTGAAGCGGTGTGACCTGGGGCCAAGGCTAGCGCTGTGCTGTGTCTGCACCTTCCGACTCGGCACTGGGCACGGCCTGACTCAGCCAGGTCTCAGGCCCTCAGGGCCCCTCCCCCTTCCCTAGATGCTACCTCAGTTACAAAAGGAGACAGATGTCTCTGACACTGCTGCTCACCACACACCATGGCCCAGGAAGGTAGCAGGGCCCAGGAGTCTGTGAGCTGAATGCACATCACACACACACACTAAACACTATTGACTTCACTAATCTCTGGCCCCAAGAACTGCCTTTGGGGTGTTGCCCCCCAACACACACACAACAGAGATGCTAGATCCTGTGCAGTCCTTGAGCTGAGCTGGGCTGGGCCTGGGAGGGCTGGGAAGGCTGGAGGGAGGCCCTGGGAGCCGCCTCCACCCTGCGCTGTCTAACCAGTGAGCCGTCCCCTACCTCCTGCAGAAGAGGGACACAATCCCCTTTTCAGGACTGGGTTTCTGTAAATGACCGACCTGAGGTGTCCTGGGGGAGGGAGCAGAGCCAGCTGAAGGGTGTAGCCCACGAAGGAAGGCCAGAGAAGGCAGTCTGGAGAGAGGAGAAGGCCCTTCCCACCAGGGAAGCAAACACCCCTCCAGCAATAGAAACGCTCACTGTGAGTGCCTGCGTTCTCCCGGGCAGCGCTGAGCACACAGAGCCCAGCCCCACAGCAACTCCATGAGCCTGGCACTATCGTCCTTATGTTACAAATGAGGACATCAAGGCACAGAGAGGAGAAAGAATTCCCAGAGCTCTCAGCTCTAGTGAACAGCAGTAGAGCCAGAATCTGCAGCCAGGCCACCAGGCTTTGGACCCACACTTCTGAATCTATGATACGACCGCTGGTGCCATGCCCAATGCCGTGGGGCACGGACCCTGCTGGAGGGAAGCCAACACCCCTCTCCTCCGAGAGCTGCAGCCCACCTAGGTGGGTGTCCTCATGACGGCTCCTCCTCCCTGTAGCTCGGCAAGTGGCCCAGGCCTGGGAGGGGACATTTTCCCTGTTGGCACCATAAACCGGGCATTGCTGAGTGGGAGCCTGGGGGACCAGGCTGCGTCCATATGTGGAATTCTTGTGTGGCCAAAGCCCACTCCACTGTACCCCTCTGAGGGGAGGGGCAGCAAGCAGGGCAGCTAGAGAAGCTCTCAGGCAAGGGGCCCTTTTGCCCAGCCCCCAGGAATCAAGCAGGAACATTGCCCCCTGTACCCCCCCCAACATGTTTTTAAATAGTCTCTCACCAGGAAGAAGGGCATCCAATTCTATTTCTGATTCTAGAAAGTGAGGAGGGCCAACACGTTGCCATGGCAACCTGAGAGCCCCTCCCCCAGGCTGAGCCCATTCCCCAGGCTGAGGGCTCTCTGGGACAGAGGGGCCGAGAGGGAACTCAAAGGAGCTCAGTCTCAGGGCGAGGCCACACACAGTCCCCTCCGTGAGGGCAGGTCCCGGCACTGCCTCCTCTCATACCGCACCTGACCCCGACCTGTCAGGTTTGGGGGGAGGCTCCCAGCCTCTGTGGAGAGGGTGAGGCTTCCAGAGATGGGGAGAGTCAGTCACTCTGAGGGACTCTTGTTTCCTGTGAATCAGGCCAGAACCCCCCACCTAGGAGGGCCCGAGGATGGTGAGCAGGACATCATCAAGGGAAGGGGCACAGAAGGCTCCGTTCCACTGGGAGCTCCCTGCCCAGTCAAGTCTCCTGCACCTGCTTCTCCAGTGCAGACAGATTCGGGCTCCACGGTGGCCCCAGGAGACAGCTCCATCAAGTCCCTGACCCCATGCTCCTCCAGTCCATCTGCCTGCTCCTCCTGTGCCTTGGGAAGACTCTGGACATCTCCAAAAGTCTAGGATCAGGAGGAGTCTAAAAGGAAATAAACAAAAAACAACAAATATAAAGCAGAGCCCTGGCTGGTGTTGCTCAGTGGACTGAGTGCTGGCCCGTGAACTGAAAGGTCGCTGAGTCCATGCCCAGTCAGGGTACATGCCTGGGTTGCAGGTCAGGTCCCCAGGTGGGGGCGTGCAAGAGGCAACTGATTGACATATCCCTTGCACATCGATGTTTCTCTCCTCTCTTTCTCCCTCACTTCCCCTCTCTCTAAAGATAAATAAATTAAAAAAAAAAAAACCACAGAAGGAGGCTGAAGAGGCTCCCAGTGCAGCCAGTCACTTGCTAATGGAGTGAACGGCAGGCCGGTTCCCCAGAGGTTCGCCCCTGTGGATTATCCCGGGGCCCACTCACCAGAGGCTACAGATGGGCAGCATTTAGATCTGGATTTAGATCTGGGGCGGGCGTGGTGGGGGGCACTCCAGGTAGGAGCACAGCCCAGGCAAAGGCTGGCTCCGGAAAAGACCGGAAAGGATCATTTTTGCCAGCCCTTGCTGGGCGCTGATGGGAAACCAAGGCCCCAAGGAGCGGGGAAGTGCGCTCGGTCTTCCAGCCCCATACCCAGCGCTCTGTCTGCGTCTCTGTCTTCAGACCCTCCTCCTCGGGGCTCTCTGCGTGACCTGCAAGCCCTGACCCCCTGCTCCCCTGAAGTCTCCTGGCCAGGGTGCCCCCATTCCATGTTAAAGGAACTGGCATCTCCTTCTCCCAGGCCCCTGCCTGACCCTAAAGGAAGACGCCAGGGTGCAGAGAACCCCAGTCCTCCGGGAGCCAACAGTGGAGTGAGGGGTGGTAGCCCGCTCCTACTCTGGGCTGTGGAAGGTGGAGCCCAAGAATGCCAAGAGGATGCAGCTTTTAAGCTCTAAGGCGTAGAGAAATTTAAATAACAGATGTTTAAACAATCTTCTCTGCAAGCCTCGGCGCAGTGACCCCTCTGCTGCGATGTGTTACAGCTTAAAAATAGCCCACAATGAACTGCTCGGAGCTCCAATTGACTCAGGCTTACGTAACTCTGCGTGAAAGCTGGCCAGCCGCACCAGCCGGCGGGGAGGGCAACTGCACAGCCACCCTGACTGCTGCCACTGCCGCCATAGGGGCTGGGGTGGGCTCCGCACCCTCCCTGGCGCTGTCCCTGTCCAGCAGCCAGCAGAGGCACGGCAGAGGCAGTGCTGCCAGAAGCACACATGGCCCCACGACTGCTGAGAAGAGACCTCCAACCCTGCCTGCAGAGGGGATGGGAGCGGAGCTGCCCTCCCTCGGGGTCCCCAAGGGACTGAGGCCCCAGGCAGGAGCCCATGAGCGCAGGGCGACCGGGACTTCCCAAAGGATCCCTTCCCTCCTTTGAAGGGGGCACCTTCAGCTTGGGGGATCATGTCAGCAGGACTGACATGTGGCTGAACCTGTCACTACCATGGAGCCCAGGGGCGGAGCTGACTGTGGCTGACACTAAGGGTCCTCGGTCCAGGCTGCACAGGTGCAGCTGTGGCATGAGTGAGGGTGCTGGCTTCACAGCTGATGGAACTCTGTGATCCGGCCCACCAGCCACATTCGGTCCCCTGCCTCCCCCTCCCAGATCCCAAGTGCCCAGTCCAAGGCCGACCACAAGTGTGCAGGTGGCTCAACTATCGTAACAACTAGCAGAGAGGAGGGAGCGGAGGAGGCCCTGGCATCGGAAGCCCCTCTGCCGCTGCCCATGCTCAGCCCTAGGGATTCAGCAACTACCTCCAGTTCTCCCCTCCCAAGCTCAAGCCTAACCCCTGAGCTCCTATGGAGAAACAATGCAATGGGTGACGCCAATGCCAAGGCCTCCTGCCATCTTCCCAGCACAGGGCGGGCTGCCAGGCCCTTCAGTGCCTCTGCTTCCCTTCTGAAGTCAGGGCTGCCAGATGGGTGGAGGAGGGGGCATGGGTCTCCTAGAAGGACAGAAGATGGCCCTGGGCTCCTCATCCTGCTCAGTGAGGGGAAAGCCTGCTCTTGCTGCCTCCCTTTCCAGGGCAGCCCAACAGTCCCGGCTAGGCCTGGAACGAACATCCTGTGACCCTGGCAGAGGATGCCCAGGGCACTGAATGAATGGAGAGCCAGGTGCAGAGGCCATGGGGAAGCTCAGGAGCAGAGCCACTCTTCCTCGTGGAGGCTGGGGTTGCGAGTCTGTGTGGGATAAACGGGCAGGGACAGGGGTTCAGGAGACACAGTCATTTCTGAGAGTGTCCGAGGGTGTCAGCAGGGGTTGGCTGGGATTCAGGTGCCACACCTCCAGGCTGAGTGGGGTCAGGCAGGCTCTGCCACCTGCTGGATATCTGCTGCCTACCTTTGGGTCAAGGACTCCTGCCAAGAGAAGACCAAGTCCCTGCAGGCCATGTTCCAGGTCACCATCCTTAGACATGAAGAGCCTACCAGGGGGCCATAGCAGCCAGAGGCTCTCCTGGCATCTCTGCAAAATACCCACTGGAACAAACCCCAAAAGAATGAGGCTCAGAGGGCCCCACTGTGCCGGAGGGGGAGCCCCAGGGGCGCTTCACCCAGTCGTTCCCGCTCCTCCCGGCTGGTGTAGCCCCACCTCTGGGCTGGAGGGGCTCACACATGGGAACCATGTTTTCCCCCGGGCCTGTGGGTGGAGGCTCAGTGCTCAGCTGCCAATTCCTGGCCCCAAGCCCTCACAGCAGCACCCGAGCCCTGACCCCAGCACTGGACAGTGCTGCTCTCTCCTACAGGAGAAGGGACTGAATTTACGGAATGGTATTAGGCTCGGACTTGGGACCTCCTGGGCTGCATGAGGAAGTCACTGATGAAGCCCTTGTCCAGGAAGGTCCCAGGGTCTGAAGTGGGACTATATGTGGAGCCTTCCGGCGTGACCCCCCCAAAGAGGATGTGTATCCCTGGGAAATTCTCTGAAGGTCTGGGCCTGAGGCATAAGGGGAATTTCAGACCAGGCCCCCCATCAAAGCAGATCAGGGTGCTCCCAGCATGCCTCCGGGTTCCAGAAAACACTGCCACCGGGGAGCACTCAGGAGGCTGTGGGTCATCTGACGCCTCCTCAGCCCCACCTCTCACCCTGGCCTCCCTCCAGCCTTTACTGACACCTGCCTGTCCCCAGCCCCACTGAGGCAGAGGTGCTGGCACCTCTCCACCACTCGTGGCGGTCTCCCAAGGCCCTGGGAGAAAGCTCTGCCATGCCACCCACCATAGCTGCCCAAGGGCAAGCTTCCCCTTGCATGCGCCACTCATCGTACCTGAGACACTGTTCTGGCCACCCAGCGGGAGGGCAGCCCAGCCTTCACAAGCCCTGGAAGTTGCTCAGAGTCTCCCAGCCCATCTGGGGGCCGAAAAAACAACCCTCCCTTCCTCACCTCCCTGGTGGCACAGGCAGGAATTTAAAACCCTGACGCAGCTCCAGCTCCTCACACTCCAGGGGGACTTGGAGGATGGCAGCATGGGGGGGGGGGGCGGGTACAGCTATGCCATGATCCAGGAGCCCAAGCACTAGCCTCACTGGGGTCCCTCCCTCAGCATCCTGACCCAGGAAACCTAACACCCCTCAGAGTTCCCTTCCATCTTCCTTTCCTGGGACCTCTCTCCTTGCCAAGCCCCCCTCCCAGCCAGTGGGGAGCCCTTCTGAGTGAGTCCCTCTGTGATGAACACATGAGCCAGTGGTCCATGAGCTGCAGAGGTTCAGTGGGTAAGAAGCCTCAGTCCAGCTTCACAGAAGCCCTGGGGCCTGCTCCTTTCTCCCCACGCAAGGCTTGGTGTCCTGGGTGACCCTCGATCCCCAGGACAAGGTCAGGGCACAAGGATGGGAAGTCAGAGGGACTGAGACAGTCCTTTGCAACCGGTATGGATAGGGACCACAGCTGGAAGGCTGTTCCCTGAGACATTCCACTGACCTCTCTCCCAGCCTCAGGGGCAACACAGGGGTTTCCCCCACCCCTCAGAGCCCAGGGTCTCTGGCTGAGCAGGGAAGGAAGGCGACAAGCTCTCCCGTACCTGCATGGAGTGGGTAGCACAGGTGCAATGGTGAGCAGGCAGAACATCCACCTCCACCCATCTCCAGCTCATGGGCCCCTAATCTCTGGACCCCGGCACTTGAGCAGAAGACTCCCCTTTTAAGCTTTGTCTGCCTGTCCTCATGGTCCTTAGGCTCCCTGGTTGGGCCTCCCACTGGCCCAAGGTGGTTGAGTGGACAGCAATGTGGGTGGAGAGCATTGGGCAGCTCCAGTTCCAAGGAGACCCCCCACTCGGCTTACTTGGGTCCCATGAGACAGGGCAGAGCTGGGGACTCACAGGAGAGGGAACGTGCTCCCTTTAGGGTAAACTGGGGTCCCACAAACTGGCAGGATGGGGACAGCAGGGGTCCTGAACAAGAGAGCAGAACCGCTATGATGTACCATATGTCCTGGGCTCACCGCCCCCTCAGCATCGAGGGCCTGGCAAGGGCTAGTACGAGGAGGAAGCTGTTCTCCCTCTCTGGTGGAGCCTGGCCTTCGAGAGGCTCATATGGAGTGGCCTTGACGAGTATGAGTAGCCTGGGCAGTCAGCACCTCGAAGCTGGTACCGAAGAGTGCGGCGCCAAGGCCTTGCTGCCGGCTCATAGCTCTCAAGGCTGCAGGGATAATGCTGGCAGGTGTGGCGAAGGGGAGTGTCCCTGCCCCGACAGTGTGCCTGCGGTGGGGTGGGAGCTGCAGGCAGAGCAGGGAGCCCCAGAGAGGGACAAGAGCCCAGGGAAGGGGACCGAAGACTGGGCGACTGGAGAAGCCACCCTGGCTGGTACAGTCCTGGGTCCCCAGCCACCCTCTTGGTTCTGTCCAAAAGTCCCAGGCCCCGTACCCTGCGCCTGGGGCTTGCCCGCCTTCCCGCTCCCTGCAGCCTCCTCTCCGACCACAAACCTTTCTGGCCTCAGGGTTTCTCTTCCAACTCTGCTGCGGGCACAGCTCCCACCTGACAGGGTCTCAGCAAAAATGTCACCTCCAGGGGGCTTCCCTCACCTCTATATTTAACTTTCTATCCAGTGCTGTCCCCTATTCTCCTAATGCCACTGATCTTTTATTTTCATAACATTTACCACAATTCGTGCTTAAATAGTCACTTGTTTATTTACTGGTTCATGGGCGGGTGGCTGGTCATGGCTGAGTCCCTGTGCCCAGCAGGCCAGGCACCCGGCAGCTCCATAAGTATTCATTACATCAAGGGTCACCCTCACTGGCTCCCTCTGTGAAGTGAGGGGTCAATGTGCCTTGTTCCCCTCCCACAGCCTTGTGGGTAAGGGTAAGGGACAGGGCAGAGTGCAGGTCGGGCCACCCCTTGGTGTGGCATAGCCCAGAGGTTAACTCCCAGGAGTAGCTCTGCAGGTCCAGCCCCTTGGGGCCTGCCTATGGCTGAGGTCACGTGGGCCTTGGTGGCTCTGAGAGGGGCCGAGGCCGCCCAGGGCTCCTGTGCACAGGCGGGGACAGTGACTGTTCTGGGGGCACGTTTGCGTCCTTGGGGGCATCAAGGCCCAGGTTCACGTAGGCCACGGACAGCTGCACGTAGTGGTCCCCACACAGAGCCGCCACCACTTGCTCGACTTCTCTTGCTAGCGTTCCAAAGGTGGGTCGCATCGCAGGGTCCGCTGTCCAGCAGCGCAGCATCACCGCGTACCTGTGCCGGGAGGAGAAGGTCAGCGTCAGAGACCCAGAGATTCTGGGCTGCCCACCCGGTTAACCCCCTGGTGGGCAACAGAGGGAGGACAGGTGCCAGGACCTAATGCCTAGCATCACCCGATGGGGGGCAGCTCTTCTTTTCGTTGTGATTGCTACGCCAGTCCTGCCTTCCCACCCTGGTGAAGGTCAAAGTGCCTTGGGGGATAAGAGCTTGGGCCCTGTGTCCTCGTGCTTGGGCTGATTAGGGGCAAGTTCCTTAACTGCCCTGCACCTCTGGACCCTCCTCTGACCCCGCAGCCGTTGGGACGCAAGCTGACAGGAGGCCGGTGAAGGGCCTAGCCCATAAGCTATCATGGCCGTCATCACACACCTCGTAGGGAAGACGCTCAGGTCCGGAGACTCAGATATGAAAAGCCCGGAGACAAGGACGTGTGAGGCAGTGCCACTTGTGCCCTCATTCCCAAGCGGGGTTTCTCTGGTTTGCCTGGTGGCACCTAACACTTGCCCCTTTAGCTTGGGAATGTCACCCCTGCCTTCAGTGATCCTTTAAGTCCCCTACAAATCACACCTCACATAATTCTCAGACGCTCTGAGGTTGGTCCTGTTACCATCCCAACTTTTCAAATGAGGAAACTGGGGCCCAGAGAGGTGATGGGACTTACCCTGGGACAATGGGGTGCTCCCCAACCCAGATCCCCCCATTCTCCCACCACCACCCCGCTGACCGCTTAGCCCCAGGAAAGGCCCTTTCTAGGACCTGCCCCAGGCGGAAGAGAACTGCCTCTCTCAAACCAAGCTCACAGACGCTTCAGGGACAGCTGTGACCAGTGCCTGCTTAACGTCTGGGACAAAGACCGGGCCCCTTGATCTTAGTTCCATAACCACAAAGGGCCGTCACCTCCAGTGGCCCCTGTGGGGTGGGCTGCAGCCTCTGTTGCATCGCCCTCACGGCCCAGCTTCTCTGCCTGCCCAGTCCTGCCTCCCAATAACCCCGCACCCACGGAACTCTCCACCTCAGAGACTGTTTCAGAAGCCTCGCCTGGAGGCAGGTAGGCAGTGAAGTTAACTTTCCTCCCTGCAAACCAGATGCATCCGCATCGTGAATAACGGAGAGCAGACTCGGGCAGGCGGGGCTGTGCAGGGGGGTTGCGCATCCCCCCCTGCAGCGCAGCAGGAGACAGGACCCGTGACCTGACTCTTCTGTCCTAACCACAGAGACCTGGGCACTGCTGAGGCACTCACTGCTTGAGAAGATGAACTGCGGCACCAAACCCACCCTACAGGCAGCGAGGACAACACAGCTGTCACCATGCCTCTGAGAATGGGAAATCTGAAACTGGATCCCGTGAAAAAAACATCTGATCTGGAGATGTAGAGGGGGCTAGTGTGGGAGCTAATGGAAGCTTTCCTTGAGATTAAGTGAGTGGAAAAGATGGAAAACAGCCCCCCTTGGCAGGGGAGGGGGAGAGGACTGCTGAGAAATCAAATCACTGGCCTCAACCCAGACTCTGAGATGGGAATGCTGTTACCATGGCGACCATCACATCTTCCCAGCACCCAGCCCTGAATAGGGGCAAAACCAATCCATAGATGAGGAAACTAAGGCCCAGAGAGGGTCCCTTTCCAGGTCAACCAAAGGATCAGTCGGAAAGCGAGGCAAGAACTTGGTCTCCCACCCCCCACCCCCGCCCCGCGTCTCCGGGGCCCAGCTCCCCCCCCATCAGCTCCTGCACACACTCACAGAGAATTTGGGCAATACTCAGGCTGGGGCAGGCGACGACCCTGGGCCAGGAAGTGAGGGAGGTCAAAAGGATCGACGTGAGGGTACGGAGGGGCCCCTCGTGTCAGCAGCTCCCACAGCAGCACACCAAATGACCACTGTGGGAGGGGGAGGAGGAACTTGATCGTCACCCCGAATCCGGGGGCAGGTGGGCCTCCCAGGTCTTCCACCTCCCAGACCCCTCTTGCTGCAAATGGAGGCTCCGCCCCCAATCACAGCCTGTTCCTCACCACCTCACAAGCAGCTTCCCCAGCCCTCCTCCCACCACCGGAACCGGTCCAGAGTTGGGGCTGGGCAGGGCCTGCCATGGCGAGGAACCAGTGAGTTCACAGCCTCCTCCTGCCCAAGAGGTGGGTGACTGGGCAGTGGCGGCTGCCCAGCTTGGAGAGTCCCTGGGCGTGGCTCCTCATCCAGAGCTAGAGGGGCAAGGCCAAGTGTTCTCCCAGGACACGAGGCCATGTAGGCGCTGGGGCAGTGGGGCCTTACCACGTCGGACTTGCTGGTGAACCTGTAGGTCTGCAGACTCTCCAGTGCCATCCATTTGACAGGCAGGCGAGCATGACGGTGCTGTTGGACACTGTAGTATTCCTTGTCCAGGACACCTCGGGCCAGGCCAAAGTCAGCCACCTTGACTGTAAAAGACTCATCCAGCCTGGGAGAGGGGAATCACACCCAGGATTGGCCCCCAGCAGGCCCTGAATCCACCTGTCCCAGGTATTGACAGGGTTTCAGAGCCACGGAGTCCCCTGTAAGCCTGACCTGGGCAGGCAAGAAAACTGAGGCCAGAGAGAGGAGCACACTGGAGCGGGGAATCTCCCCTGCGGTGCCTTTAAGGCAGCTATAGACACTGGCACCCTGGCCCCTCCCTTCACCCCAACTGCCCTGGCCCCTCACATGCAGTTCCGAGCAGCCAGGTCCCTGTGTACAAACTTCTGCTCCGCCAGGTACTCCATGCCGCGGGCCACTTGCAGGCCGAAGCTGATGAGGTCCTTCACGGTGGGGTTCTGGGGGCACAGGTGGGTCAGTAGGAAAGGGCAGGGCAGCTCCACTGCCAGCGGCTGCCCGAGCCTCCCAACCCAGGGCCCGCTGAGCACTGACCCGCTGGGGCGAGCGGATGAACCGGAGCAGGTCCCCGTGGCGCATGTAGGGCAGCAGCACATGGGGCAGTCCTTCGGGCGGCAGCACGATTCCAATGAGGGCCAGCACATTTGGGTGGTGCAGACCGCGCATGAGCAGCCCCTCTCGCAGGAAGGCCTCCACCTCCTGCAGCTCCGTGATGCCTGCGGAGCAGCTGGAGTCAGGCCCGCGGCAGGGAGGCCCTGCACAAGGGTCAGATGGGGAAATGGAGGAGAAGGGTCTCCCGCTCGAGGTCACTCAGCGAGATGGTAGCCAGCGGGGGTGAGGACCTGCCCAGCTTTCCGCCCCACTCACGACTCAGTGACTTGACGGCACAGTGAATTCGAGTCTGGGTCTCGTCTGTGTATTCTCCGTGGTAGACAACCCCGAAGTGGCCTGGCAAAGGGAGATAGTGAGGGAGGCCCCAGCGCCCAGCACCCGGACCACACCCTCTACTTCGACAACCAGACCCCCGGGGCACTGCCGGGCCGATCCAAAGCTAGAAACAATCAGGAGCTGTGTGATGGCAGAGGCTGCGGCCTCCCCAGCCCGCCTGGGCTGCACCCGAGCCCAAAGAAGACAGAACGAATCCTCACTTCACAGACGAGCAGCTGGAGGCTCAGAGAGGTTACTGGGGATGCCCAAGGTCACAGAAGTTGGTGAGAGGGCCAGAGTAGGAGGTTGGTGACAGCCCTGCCTGGCTGTCCTGTGAGCCCGTGTCATCTCGGGACCCCATCTCTGCCCCAGCCCTGCCTGGCCTGGCCTCCTCACCTTTGCCAATGACTCGATCACTGTGGGTGACCACCCGCTCGTGGGGAATCAGCACATCCTTGACTTCGGCCAGGAGCTCAGAGTCCAGATCCCCAAGCTGAATGGACTTTGTCCGAAGCAGCGGGACACGGGCCCCATCCCCGCTGTCTGAGAAGGACTCGCTGTGGCCCCAGGGGGTGGAATCCAGACCACCCGCGGAAGGTGCTGCTGTGGAGGTGGGAGAGTGAGCGACTTGCAGAGCAGAGGACTCGGCCTCAGCTTCAGGCGCCTTTGTCTCACCAGGGCTGTATCGGTGACAGGAGCCAGGCTGGAGCAGGGGCAGAGGCGTGGCTCTGGCGATTTGGTCCGAGGATGCCGGGCCGTGCAGGTTTGGAGAAATGACTGCGGGAAGAAGGCCCCAGTAGACCGCCTCTCTAAGCTCCTAGAGGCCGACTGCTACCCAGAAAGTGTGGGCCGACCCCCAAGGCCTGGGCAGAAAGAGGATACAGGGACTTGGAGACACCACTGTTTGGGGATCGAGGCTGAGTCAGGATGAGTGTGGAGACCTCACCCAGCTGCTTCCTCCGCCGGTAGCTGAAGACAAGTGCAGCGGCCAACACAACCACAAGCAGGGCCAGGGCCAGGAGGATACCGAGGACTGTTCTCCGTGGGACACCTTCTGAGCTTGGCCGCACCACTCTGCCCAGGATGTGACATTCACCATCCACGCAGACCTGGGGGCAGGTGGCAGCTCAGGGCCAGCCTGCGGACCCCCACCCATGTCTCCTGTGAAGAGCCAGTCAAGCTGCTTACCTGCAGTGGGGTGCCGTCCTTGCCCAGTGGCAGGGAGGGGGGCAGGGGACAAATGACCACATCCCCTCGGAGCTCATGCTGGCAGCTCTTACCACCCACGGTCACGTTCACGTCCACACAGTCAGCCACAGCTCCTAGCCCAATGTACTGCAGAGACAGTCATGAGGACTGGCCGGTGCCCCCGTCGCCCCCGGGCAGGCTTCAGCTCTAACCTTCCATGCGCCCCCCCCCATCCCCACACTTACCTCGAACTTAATGGCATGCTCCTCAGGCTTCAGTGGGGCCAGGTCAGTGCTGGGCGGGTGGGGCGGGGGCAGGAAGCGAAAGCCAGGCAGTGTGAAGCCGGCAGCTCCATCCCCCCGGGCACTCAGGTTCCCTGTCACCCACCCCTGGGGGCCTCGGACCACGTATTCGGGCAGGCGGCACCGATGCTTCTCCGGCAGCTGCCCCTCACACTGCTGGGGCCCATCAAGAGTGGTTAGCCAGGCCCCCCCCCCCCGCCCCCGTCTCCTTGGCCCAGCACAGGGTGGGGCAGGGACTCAGGGGACTGGCCCGACCTCCCTCCCTCCTGGTCAGTGCCCACCTGGCGGCTACCAGGGCCCACTCACCCTGTTCTCCACCACCTTAAGCCCATCATGGAATGACAGCACTAGGCGCCACACTGAAGTCAGGTGCTGGCCACGGATGGTGACGTGGGAGCCGCTGTGAAGAAGAGCAGGGTGGTGGGCTTAGGGTGCTCTCTGAGGGTGGCTCCCTCATTCCTAGGAGAACAGGGTGGAGAGAGGTAGCACGTACGTGTAGCCACAGTGGGGGCTGATGCCCAGCACAATGGGGTTTTCCCGGTAGTCAAAGGTCCAGGAGCCAGGCACCTCGGCACCCCCCACCTGCAGGCGGACGGGAACGCTCGCCGAGGCTGCACTGGGCGGCGTGGTACATAAAAGCTGCCCCTCGCTGACGCTGTAGAACAGAGAGACGAGGTTCAGGGTCACGACCCAGGTGACACTTAGGCCCACTTCCTCCAGGGGTCTGACAATCTCTTCCAGTTCCTCTGTTGGTCATCTCCCCACTGCCCATACTCCACAGGTCTGTGTCTTTACACAGGCTGGTTCCAGGGAGACCCCCCAAGAAGGCAGGGAGGGGATAGACTCCCCTCATCCCTGGCCGAAGGAAGGCAGTGGGTTGTGGTTGTCTCTCTTGCCATTCCCACACCACCTCAGGACTAGAGGGGACAAGAGACCCTTCTTCCCAGACCTGACCATGTGACTGACCCCCCCTCCCTCTGCTCTGACAGTGATCCAAGTCCTACCTGGTGAGGGCTCCCCTGGTGGGGCCCTTGGACCTCCCATCCCCTTGCCAGCCAGCAGTTACCTTTCCAGAAGACACTCCGTCCCGTTGACCAGCACGGCCCGGCTGGTGCCTGTGGACAGGCCCTGGCCTTTAAGGGTGAGGTGGGTGCCCCCTGCCCGTGGGCCAAAGAGGGGTTGTACTTCTTTCAGCACTGGCTCCTAAGAGGGTATGGAGGTAGCTTAGCTTAGTGTAGGACACCCTCCACTCCAAGCCCTTGCCTCCCCATATTACCCACTGGCCAAGGGCACAGACAAGACAAGGTTGTCTCACCACGAAAGAGAAGCCTTGCAGCAAGGAGGTGCCTTCTATCCGGAAGTACTTGCCCGGTGGCATGTTGGTGACAGTGAGGCTAATGTTGGCAGGCCCAGCTGACTGTGTGCCCAAGGGTTCCAGCTCACACTCAAGCTCTTCTATGAAGCCCTTCCGGGACACTGGGCTAGAGCACCGGGGAACTCAAGGTCAGCCGGGGCTCACACAGGCCTAGTTGCATGCCCACCACAAATCATAGGTCTCCTCTGAGCCTGAAGGTGGCCTCTCTCCTGGGCGGCCTCCAGGGCAGGGGCCAGCCTTGCCCAGTCCATGACTCAGGGGACAGGTAAGGCATATGCAGGCTCAAGAAGGGACAGAGACATGGCTGCATACATGAAGCAGCCAGAGCCGCTGCAGCTTGCCGCATGCCTCCTTGCCCCCGATAAGCAGAGGATAGAATCTCACAGGCAAGGAACAGCTTGGTTGCCCCCATCAGGGATGGGAAGGGCAGGGAACAGTTGTACCTGAAGTTTGAGCTGTCCTTGGGCAGCAGCCGGCAGGGACTTTGGCCCACGGTGACCTGATGGGTGCCCTCAGGCACCAGACCATCAGGGCGCAGGTAGAAGTTGGAGCCACACAAGGTCAGCCTCGTGCTGCCCCCTCGGGGTCCACTGGGCGGACAGAACTAGAGAGGGAGCAGATGGCCTTTGTGGGCCAGGACTCCCAGCCCCATCTGCTTCCCCCAAACTCTTCTGCCATCCCCCTGGCCTGCCTCACACTCCATTCATTCTAAGTAACTTGCTAGTCCTCACTCAAGCACTTTTTTTGCCTCCAAAACTTTGCATGGGCCATCTCCTCTGCCAAGGATGCCTTCCTTGAGGACATTGCAGGCCTGAAGAAGATCGTGGCCAACACCTGCTGTTCCCCACCCCAGGCCCAGCCTGTGTCAACCTCACTTGTGCCAACCTCACCTGTGCCCAGCCAGGGAGGCCATACCTCAGTAAGCTCAGGAGCACAATGGTCCTGCTGCCAGGAGGCAGGACATTCCTTCTGCCGGCCACAGAAGTCTCCACACCAGCCACAGCCCATGAAATGCTGCGCCCGCAGGCAACGCCCACAGGTGAGGAAGTGGCGGCAGCCTGGGCCCTGGATAGGTACCTGGAAGACCTTGGAATGGCAGAAGGTGGCTGGAGATGGCTGGGGTCCTAGGCCCTGTAGACCCCCCCAGTACTATTCTAGATCAGGGTGGTAAGACCTATGTGCCAATGCCTCCCAGGATTAGACGGCCCCAGGCCCTGCCCCTGCCCACCTTACCTGGTCCCCAGAAGCAAAGAACAGGTGGTTCCCAAGGCGACTGACATTCCGCTGCACGGGCTGCTTATTGTTGCTCAGTGAGAAGTTGGACACGTACAGCAGGTAGTTGAGAGACCTGGCCAGCTCCACCTGGGACAGGTGAGCTGTGAGCAAAATGGTGATGGGGACGGGGACCCGAGGACAAAGGGCTGTGGAGACGAGGGACCTACCTGCAGGATGCGCCCATCAGTGGTGCCCATGTGGGCCACTGTGACATTGTCGAGGCGCGTCACGTGCAGCGCAGTGACCTGCACCGGCCCTAACAGCCCGTTGAACAGGTCCACCCGTAAGAGGCTGCTGCTGACCCGCAGAGGGAAGTGGTAGCAGCTGGTGTTGGGGCTGAGGGACGCCAGGCCAGGCTGGGGAAAACCAGGGAAGGGGTCAGGGCTCATCCCGCACTGTGACCCCTTGGGGCCTCTGTCCGCGACCGCAGCAGCCTGAACTCCCACCCCGCACCAGGCCTGCTGGCTCCCGCATCCCCCCCCGCCCCACAGTGGGGCTCTCAGAGGGAGCAGGGCCAGAGCAGGCCAGCTCCCCCTCCGCCTCGCCCTACCCCACCACGTCCACTCCGATGATGAGTTACTGAGCCTTACAGACCCAACCCCATTCTGTCACCACAACCACTCACCACCCCCATTTTACAGATAAGGAAACAGGCTCAGAGAGGTTCGGTCGCTTGTCAAAGGCTGTAAAGCCCCTTGTGGAGGGGGGGGCCAGATCTGCCGCCTGAGCTCTTGACTAGAATCCTCTCCTGCCCCCTGCTGGTTCTGCTCTGCACTTCAGCAAACACTGTCCCGTCTCAGGGCTTCAGTTTCTCCACCAGCACAAGGGGCCTGAACTCTAAGGTTAATTTATCAGCACAGGGTTGGTAACAGGGTCCTTCTCCCTGAGACTCCAGAGGTCTTCCTGCACCTCCAGTGGCTACCAGTGCCTCCTACAGGGTACAAAAGGACAAACCGAGGTTCGAAGGCCTGGGTGCCAGGCTAGGCCCCAGGGTTGGGAGACGCTAATCTCCCCCTTGCTTTTAACAGGAGGGTGTTTGGGGGCTGCACTCAGTGCCCCAAAGAAGGACTGTGGAAGCTTCTGGAAATCAGGAAGCCAGGGTGTGAATGCAAGGTATCAGATGGAGCTGGGTGCAAAGTGCTGGCAGGTCTCAGTAGACCCGCCTCACCAGCTCCAAGGGCAGCGCTCAGGGCTGCAGCCCCTGGGGCCTGCATCAGACCAAGTCTGCGTAACCTAATCATCAGATCCCAGCACCAATCAGGAGCCGCGGGGTAAAAGCAGGTGCAGAGTTGGGCCCCCAAACCCACACACTCTGGGTCTGTGGCCTGGGTAGGCGGGGACTGGGACTCTGTCCTCACTTGAGGAAGGAAAGGGGCCTATTCCTAGGCGGAAGCCAGCCAGGTGTTTTCAGCATGACTCAGGGACAGGTGGGGCTGAGGGGCGGAAGAGGCCCTACTCCAGTCAGGGTCACGCCCTTGCCTGCTTGCCCTGGGTTCCAGAGTCCTAGCTCTGGCCTCCCAGGCTCGTTGAGGGCCCGTAGCTCCTGAAAGCACTTTAGTGTTCAGTGCCCCACAGAGGAGGGCAACTGCCCCAGCCAGACTCAAACTCTACCGGGACCCCTGGAGAGTGGGGAGCAGCTCTGCACCACTCGGGCTTCCTGAAGCCAGCCGCAATGAGCACACAGCGGATGTTGCCCTGCAGGGTGCGTGCCCGGTCAAGCACAGTACAAGCTGGCTCACACACTTCCCAGGGGCTGGGCCAACCTGTGGGCAGGGCTGGAGCTTAGTCTTCCTAGAGCCTGGCACTACCAAGTCTTGCTTGGTGTCTATTGACCCACTGACCACTGGCCAAGTTGGGGAGAGGTTCTGACTCCCCAGAGGGAAGAAGAAGAGGACAGGCAGGGCTGCCAGGCCCAGACGAGGGAGCCCCAGCCCCGGGGCCTCCTCAACTGAGATGGCCTCAACTGAGGGAGGGAGGCTGAAGACGCCCCCAACCTCATGCGTACAACTTCTCCCACCTCTGGGCCATCATCAAGAGCGGGAAAGGAACTGATGGCAGACATCACGGCAGGGCCATGGCCACAGGACAGCCAAAGACTGAGACTGGTGCCTGTGGGTCAGCTCGCTGAAAGGCCACTCACCCAGTGCCACTCATCCCATCCCCTCGGTTTAGTTTCTTGTAATCTAAGGTAAGACTGTTTCAGTGGCTTCACGAAATCAGTTTCGGTTTTGTCCTCAGCATTTTAAGGAATATCCTGTTTGTCTCCGCTCCAGCTTTCTGACACCACGGCCTGGGAGAACCAGGGTAGGGTCTGCTGGAAGGAGCCCCCAGGTCAGTGTGGGCTGGGAGACCTCCTGCCTGGGGTGAGAAGGGAGACTGGAACTGGACCCCAACTACTGCAGAAAAAAGTCTGGGACTCCCGTGCGGTGAATCAGTTCCAACCGGGCTTTACTCATTCCCAGATGTTCACAGTTGTTTGCACAAGATTGGGGTGAGCCTCCTGGAATCTACTAGAACTAAGCCACCTTCCCACCATGTCCCGGGGCCTCCTCAACTGCCCCACAGAGAACGACTAGTCAGGGATGAGTGGGTCCATAAAACCCAAGCTGCACAAACTCCTTGGCCGGCCCCTACCCCTGCTGGGCCCAGGAAGCTCCCCAGAACAGGGGCGGGAGCATTCTCCGCAACTGCTGCCTCCTCCTCTTTGGGCAGCAGAGCAAAACGAGTGCCCCCATAGAGAAAATGAAACTGTCTGAGGGGAGGGAGGCATAAGGGAATTAAATGGTACTGGGCAAAAAAATACAATGAAGATTAAATTCGGAAAAAAAAAAAAAGGAACTGTGTTCATGAGCAGCTGTGAGTCTGCATGAATCCATGAGCATCTGCGGGCGTGGGGGGCTGTTCTTCCGTGTCTGCCCTGAGGGTGTGTGCAGTGGGCAGATAGTGGGGGATGCCCATCATTCCACCCGGAGTTTGGCAGTGTGCCTGGTGGAGAGACAGTTATGATGCAATCCAGTTCTCACATAACCAGAGAAACTGCCTAAAAAATCAGAGGTCATGATAGGTCTGAGGGTGAGAGAGCAAAATGGGCTAGCAACCCGGGCGGGTCTGGCTGGGAGATGAGCCTCCCTGTGGCCTTGGTTTGGCTGACACCCCTCACCCTCCCTGCAGCGGCACTAAAGACACTAAAGAACCGGGTGGAAGAGAAAACCTCTCTCTTGCCCTCCCAGGCTCCCCAGCTCCCAGACGCTCTCGGTGGTGGGAGGAAAGCAGCCTGGATTCAGCCTCGTGCACACTGCTCACAGATGAGGTTCCCTTTTCCAGCTTACCGGGTTGGGGCACAAACTGGGGGCCTGGAAGAAGTCGAGGTCTCTCCGGAGGCCTGGGTGCACGGGCGGCTCACAGCAGCGTTCCTCGCCGTCCTCGATGAGTTTGTTCACCAGATCGACGGGGAAGGCACAGACGACAGATTTGGGACTGCCGCCCGGGCTGCTGTCTCTGATGGCCACGAAGACCCCAAAGAGCACTTCCTGGCCCTCAGCTACGCTCAGCTCAGCGGCCAGCCGGCTGCCCACAGGAGCTGTGTGTGCTGCCCGCAGTACTGGATATGGCTGCCCAGCCCCAGAAGCCCCGCGTCGCCGGCGTTTAGGCTCAAAATGGCAATCCAGAACCAGCTCACGGTAGTTGCCCATATCGGTGTCGACTGCGCTGAGGCGGGCCAGGCGCGTGTGCAGGGTGCCAGAAGCAGCGGCCAAGCTAGCCAGCTGCACGGTCAGGAAATAGACGAAGGCTCCCGAGTGGAAGCTGTACACGTACTCGATGCGGTAGGAAGGGAGGTACCGGGGCAGCACCGACAGCGCCTCAAAGTCTGGTGCGAATCCTGATGCGTCCGCCTTGAGGCGCCGGATGGACACTGAGTGTGGGCTGAAGCTCGAGGCTACCTCCGCGTCCAGAGAAGATGCCACATAGAGGTAAGCAGCGTGGCCCTGCTCAACCACGGTCACGAGGGTGCCCAGAGGGCTGGCCACGCAGTCGGGGCAGTCTTCAGGCCGGTTGTGGCGCGTGGAGAAGAGGCAGGCTGGTGGTGCCAAGTGCAGGGTGGTTCCGTTGGACTCTAGCTCATGCTGGAAGCAGCGGCCGTGCAGGCTTGAGCCACAGCTGATCAGGGCCGGCAGTCCTGGTTCCAGCACCAGCACCTGTGTGTCTGTGTCCCCCGGCGGGCCGTGGGGGCCCGGGCCGCAGGCTGCACACGTTTGGCAGTCAGGGTCCCCAGCAGGTCCTGTGGTCAGGCTCTCAAGGAACTGCAGGTCTGGCCCAAGCATGTACAAGCGATTGCGCGTGGCCACGAACACCGCACTTCCATCCTCGCCCCCATCATAGGTCGCCAGGGCCTGTACTGGCCCGCCAGCCGAGAAGCTGGGCACCGTGTACCTCACGCCAAAGTCACGGGAGGCAGCGTAGGGGATGCTCGGGCACTGACAGGACCTGCCAGCCTCAGGCACCGCCGGCGGCAGCAGCAAGAGCAGCAGAAACAGGGGAGACTGCAAGTGCGGTGGCAGGAGCTCCATTGAGGCCCAGCTGGGGCCCCACGGGGATTCCCACAGGCCAAAAGCCTGGATGGGAGCAGACTCGAGGGCTGGGACCAGCGTCCAGCGCGGGTCTTGGGAGCCCTGGGCAGCGGACCCCACCTGGAGCTCCTGTGATGCTCCCCTCTCCTCCCCGGCCCTCGGTCTGAGCCCCTGGCGCAGACGGATACACACCGCCGGCAGGAACTGGAGAGGCCGACTCACCTGCTCGCAGTACGAGCTGCCGCTCCCAGCAGTCTCTCAGAGCAAAGTCGAGGGACAGGACCGGGACGGCGGGTGGGGCCAGGGTTTGGGGCGGAGCGGTGGGAGGGGCCTGTTGACGGCTTGGCCAGGACAGCCCTCCAGTCTTTCCCGGCCCTGGGATGTCCTACCCCTCCTCCTTGAGTGTCTTTCTCTCAGTGGCCTGGGGCTGGGTGTGCTTGGAGTGGCCTGGAGAGAAGTAGGTGGGCCTGAACCATCCCGTCCAGGCCCCCACGACGCAATGGGCCGAGGTGAGGCGGGAGCGGGGCTGCCCCAGTGCCAGGGAGGGTTCGAAGATGGCCTGGCTCACTTCCTCTCTCCGTGCCTTTTCACAGCAACATCCTCAATGATGGTTCCCGGGGCTGGGAAATCCACTGTGTGGGGAAGAGACCGGGAAATGTGCACCGGACCAGAGAGGAGAGGTGAGGGGACCCCGGGAGTGACACCATCCTCTGTGGGCAGGGGCCATTTCTTCCATGGGCTTGCCCTAGCCTGTCAGCTACAGGATGGCGTCAGAGGAAGGTGTGTTGCACCTTGACCACCTTTGGACGGGAGGGGTTATAAGATGGGGCCAGCCCACCTTACAGGAAGGCCCAGCCCATGTTCTGGTCCCCCCACCGCTGCCTCAGGATGTGGAAGCCGTGGGATGGGGATGGAAAGCACAAGGCTGGCCTTCCTCTCTGGCCCTGCTCCAACGCCCCTGATGTGGGGAAGCATGGGCACTTCTAACCTGCCCCGTAAGCCTTGCTGGGCCTCAAGTCTCTCCCTCTCTGAAATGAGGATGTAGTTCTGAGGAGGTGATGGCCCAGAGCTCTCTCTCCAGGATGGGACGCGGGGCTGGGGGCTAGGGGGAGGGGAGGCAACCTGCATCTGCTCTCGCCATCTCTCACCTGGGCCTCCACAGCTGTCCCTCGGTAACTGGCATGGGTGAAAAAGGAAACTCATACTAAACCTGACAAGCTCAGGGAGCCAGCAGGGTGGGGCCTACAGACTGAGAGGCCGAGTTTGGTCTGGATATAAACACCCCTGACGACAGTGGGTCATGGTGGGTAGTCACAGCCTAGGCCTGCAGCTTCCCTGACAAAGGCCAATCTCAACCGATCCTGCCTGTTGTCTCTGTGTATCAAAGATTCCGTGGGTACACCCACAGCACCGAGCACGAGACCACAGAGCCCCTCGTCGTGACTTTGTACCCCAAATACCACCTCTGTGTGCTGTACATGTTAGTTATCCTGTACCCGCCAATGCGAAAGAAGTTTGTGTCAGCCCTGCCTGGTGTGGCTCAGTGGATTGAGTGCCAGCCTGTAAACCAAAGGGCTGCCGGTTCGACTCCCAGTCAGGGCACATGCCTGGGTTGCGGGCCAGGTCCCAGGTTGGGGGCGTGCAAAAGGCAACCACACATCAATGTTTCTCCCCCTCTCTTTCTCTCACCCTTCCCCTCCCTCTAAAAGTAAAGTAATTTTTAAAAAGTTTATCTCGCCCTGGCTGGTGTAGCTCAGTGGACTGAGCGCGGGCTGCGAACCAAAGGGTGGCCAGTTCGATTCCCAGTCAGGGCACATGCCTGGGTTGCAGGCCAAGTCCCCCAGTGGGGGGCCACGTGAGAGGCAACCACACATTGATGTTTCTCTCCTTCTCTTTCTTCCTCCCTTCCTCTCTAAAAATAAATAAAATATTTTTAAAAATAAAAAATAAGTTTATCTCTCAGTTTTACTATTTAACTAACCCCAGAGGTTCTCGCCACTGTTGCTTTCTCCTTAATCTCCCACCGACAAAGGCCATGTAACCCTCCCCACAACTTCTCATTTGATTCGAAATGTACAAAACTGTTGTTCTACTCTCCCCTTTCATTCAGGGTGGAGGGGGATGAAGGGGGAGAATAGAACAACTGTAATGGCATAATCAATAAAATTTTTATAAAAAAGAAATGTACAAAACAAGCTGAAAAACTGCCATTTACTGGGATATCTTTTCAGTCCATTGAGATTTTGCTGCCCAGCAATTGTCATCAGTTTGGCTCCAATAAACTCATAAAAATTCTCTGCAGGCATCAACCCTGGTCCCCGCCACACTGAAGAGGGGCTCTGGGGGACATTTTCAACCTGACGACCCCCCAGCCAGATGGGTCTGGGCCCTGGAGGGAGGGGAAGCGTCACAGGGTGGCCTTGGCCCGAGGACTTGCGAATCATGGGTCCCTGGACTCTGAAGAATAAGGGGAGCAGGAGGGAGAGGAGGCCGCAGCCCAACAGGGTCCGGCCTGTCCCTAGAAGCTGTATCTCCTCTACCCCCACCCAGCCCATACTCCTTCCACCTCCTCCAGGAGCACCCTTTCCCCTTCTTCTTGCAGCTTAGGTGGCACCTCCTCCAGGAAGCCTTCCTAGTGCAGGCAGGGTCAGGTCCATTTCGGGGTGTCTCAGACCTCATGCTACATCCACCTCAGTTTAGTGCATCCTGGATACCTGACTCACACCCCGCCCCCTGCCCCCCCCCGCCCCCCAGTGCCAGACTCCCCTTTCCCTCAAGGCTGGGCACCTGGTGACATGCTGGGAGGATTCAGTGCCGGAGGTATAAAAGGCACTCCCTTCTCTGACCAGAATTGGCCCGGAAATGAATAAACAAATGTGGAAAATCATGGCATGGTTCCAGTGCTCCACAGTCAACATGTCTAAAGATAGTCATGAGGGCAAGACCAAAAGGAAACATTCTCCGCCTGCAGCAGAGACGGGGGATTCCCGTGACCTGCGTCCTGCCCCGGGACACTGGGGAGCCCTCCTGATCACCCTGTCCACCCCTTTTGGGGGGGTGAGGTGCAGCAATTAACAATTAGTTCTCTGCTGCCACCATGTGGCCAAACTGTTGGCTGCCCCCAGGTCCGTGTTTCCTCGCAGGCAGCCTGTGGTGTTGGCGGAAGTGTCCACAGGAGGGTCCCCCACTTTTTCCCTCTGTGCCCCCACCCCTTCTGCTTGCTCTGAGGAAGGAGAGGCAGGCAAGCCCTGTGGGGGAAGTCAGCTAATGGGGCCTTGCAATGCCCGGTACAGGTCTCCACCAAGGTGAACTCACACAGCCTGGCCCATACTTGACTTACGACCTGCCCAACTGCGCCTCATCGGTCACCTTGAAGGAGTGTTAGCCACCTCGCCTTCTTTGGGCTCTCACTCCCCTCTGACAGATAGGCCGGGGAACCAGTGCCAGCCTCTTTCTCCAACCCAGAAAGATCATCTTAGCAGCAGCAGGGGACCTCTCTATGCACAGGAGAATCCCATCACTGCAACTTGAACACATTCAGTGGCTCCCCCCTGCCAAGCTCACCGGGAGTCTGAGAACCCAAGGCCTTGAAGATTCCTCCCGCTTCACTGTCAACCAGTCATATCAGATTCTTTTTCAGGTCCTTCCCGTGGCGATGCCGGATCCTCCACTAGGAACACCCTCCCTGTCTGTCTGTGGTCCCTTCCTTGATCCAGATTAGCCCTACACTCCCAGGTGCCTACTCTCCCAGACACACACACCCATCTAACTGTGACCGCCCCTTCTCACACCCACCGGGAACATGCGCTGAATTGTAGGGAAGCTGAGAGCCCTCCAGGGATCAGGAGGGCCAATGGGAGCACCTCGCTGCTGACCCCTGGCCAGAACACCAATAGGACTTGGCGACAGCTGGCCTGGCAGCACCCTGGCCGCAGAGGCAGTGGTTTGGAGCCTTGTCCAGGATCAAGGAGAAGAACAGAAGCAGGAAACAGAAGGAAAAGAAGCCCAGGGTGTGCACACAGGGTGAGCGGCGCCCACCAAGCCTCTGGCTGCTCAGGTAGGCTTTGGGGGTCTAGGCAGAGGACCTACTGCCACACCCATTCAAGTGTACCCAGGGTGGGGCCAAGGGCAGGGGCTATGCTGCTGTTTCCTGGGACAGTATGTGGAACCATTCCAGGGCACGCTTGTCCCAGGCCACCCACATGGGTGTGTTCTGTAACGTGGGTTAGTCTTAGTGGCACAGTATCTTCGCCTAGCTCTCAGAGACTGCATGAGCATGACTTGTCCTATAGTCTGAAGCCCAGTCAGTGGACGCTGTCCCCTGATAAAGGCCCGGGTGTCCCTCACTCCCTCTGCTAATGAGATGGTTAAGTTGCAGGAGAATCGGGAGATCCCCCCTAGCAGCAAGGTACAGGCTTTCTGCACTGTGCCTTGAGATTGGCCCAAAGAGGGTCTCAGGACAGAGTGATCGAGGCTGGGACATCACTGCTGAGCCTCCTGGGGCTCCCAGTTGTACCAGGGCTCAGACTCTCCCCAGGTGACAGTCCCCATCTTACTCAGCTCTGTCCCTGCCAAGCAACCCATTGAGCAGAGCCACGGCCAGGGCTTCCAGGGTGGTTGGGCAGTCCTTTGGGGCACATGGATGCGGGACCCACCTAGGAGTGAGAAGGGAGGGACCAGGACCTCGGACTGAGTATGGGAATGGGCTATAGGGGGCACAGCCAGTGGGGTGCAAGAGAAACCTTTACATGTGGCAGGACTTCAGCTGAATGAAAACAGCTCAACCCAGGGCCCACCTCTGAGCTGATGCAGTTTGATGCTGTTCGAGGGAGGGAGGAGGCGGGCTTACGTGTTCATGTGCCCCTGTGCACGGGGAAGCATGTCAGGGACTGGGGAGGAGGATCCCGTGTCTGCACGTGAGTGAGAGTGGGTGAGCAAAGGAACCAGTGACGAGGCCTGACGAGTGTTTTCCCCAAAGCACTTTAATGCACGCACCACAGTCCCTGCCTGCTGCTTGGGCAAGAGAGGCCAGCTCCGCCTGGAGGCACCCATGGCTTCCACAGCCCAGCGGGCTCAGGAGGGCTGGGCCTATGCACATTGCCATCAATACGTGAGTGGCGTCAGGATGAAGAGGCGGTCTTCTTCCTTGCGGATCCAGCGCATCAGCTTATGGATGGCACTGACGGCTGACGCCTTGGTCCCCAGGGGGCTGTAGCACATGTAGAGCTCAAAGGCACCTGTGACCT